TCAGCTAGGTGCTGCTAGGTGTATACAATGTAAGGCATTTGGAACGTCAAGAGTATTCAGGGTTGGTTATGTATTGATATAATATTTACACACGTTACAGCCAGTATGAACCCAAGGTCAATACGTACAAGATAAAAGGAGTACAACGAATCAAGTCGCTACCCTCTCGAGTCGTCCCTCGGAGTTGATCTGCAGTCCAAAGCGTTCTCGAAGAAAAGTAGCCGTCTGGTCAGAGGGCATATAAGCAGAGGTTCGCCTTGCCGCAGCCGGACTATGACGCCATTGATCCCGAATGATGTTAAAGATACCAAGGTCCATGATAACTGCCTCTCCTGACGCAAAAGCATCCATGGCGTGGCTATTCCTGGCGCCAGATACACGTCCGCTTTCTGAAGGATCCGCCAGTAGCTCCGTTCGTTCCAATTGCTCGTCCGTACTGTTATCCGTATGCTCATCGTGTGGACGCATCTCATTAAGCTCTATGTCATCGCCAGAAGGCTGAGCCGAGTTATTTCGAAGAACACCGCGCTCCTCGGAATCATGATCTTGATCGCTGGGTGTCTCTATTACGCCCGGTATATTGGACACGGGAGCAGTCACTTCAGTCATCTTCACCCGTTCAACAATCAGACCTAGCATCACCAGGTCGAGGAACAGCACGAGCAGGTCCGACATTAGAAGCCGGGCTACCGAGACGGGAGCCTTTTGCCCAATAAAATCTATCAACAATCCCCCATGCAGATAGCCTCTTGTTGCTTCTCCAGCCTCCGGTTGATCGAAAAACTTGTGGTGAATCATACAGAATACATTACTGGCGAAGATAGCCCCGATGAATGGCTGATTCCGCGTCGGGTCAAATGGAGGTGCCTTGGGAGTGAAGAATATCAGCTGCACAATAGCACGGATTGCGAAAAGTATGATTGAGCAACTACAGAGGCATAACCCAGTCAGCATCGGTTTGATTTGGCAGGCTTGCCCGAAGTGACGTCTACAGTCCAACAACTCGGCGGGACTCACTCCATGTAATACAGTGCAGATAGCTGGCAGTAAATCAAGATATCGAGATCGCGGAGTAACCGATCGATAAACGCGACCTTCGCTGCCGACTGCAGTTTCTTGAAGCGGCCATCATCACCAGACTGCGGCCCAGTGAGGTCCGCGACGCTTCCATACGGGATGCCGGATACGTCAGCGATGTATTCCGCATCTCGATAGACATCCGGAGTTGTCATAGGGGGTCATGAGGGCATGAATGGCATCTACATGAACTGATGATTTGAGCGAACAGGTAGAGGCCGCCACTGCAGACCTGGAGAGGAGGGTGAGGTGCCACTATCCTCGAGGTGGACTGTGATGCGTCGGGGAGACGATAATGGGGAGTCATGTGCGCGGGCCTTTCTCGGTCCGAAAGCCCCCCCAGGGGTCCAGCTACCCCAATAGTCATGTAACGCTCCACATTGCGACTCCGCCCAGTAGCTTTGGTGATCGCATGGCCCCGTCCGTTGTCATGGTTGCCTATGTCAAAGCTTCTAACAACTTTATTCGGTTTTTAATTATCTGCGAGGTCCCTCGCCCGTTAGTATTATTCTTACTTCTGATGAATGTTGGTTATTGATGGTCGGACCTCAACAGAGTTATTATGAGCTCTATAGACAATGAATTTTCTATAGACACCTATTTACACAAGTAACCAACTCCTCAGTCAACAAAGATGGTCTTGGACGTGTTGGAGTAATGCTTGAAGAAGCTAGCGAACAACCGAATAGAATGTCCAACATCATATGTACCGCCAGTCTCCCGGATACTATGCATGCTTAGCTGTGGGTTACCCAAGTCCAGCGTGCGAGCACCAAGCGCAGCGGACAACATGGGACCAATAGTGCTTCCGCAGCTGGAGTCGTTGCGAACGACGAAGAGCTGGAGGGGAACGCCATCTCCACCGTCTTCTGCTGCCTTGCGTGCAACCTCCTGAAGAAGGACAATGCCGGGAGAGTTCGTCGCGTAGCGAGCATTGGCGTTGATCTTGATCACAGGACCCTTGTTAATCTCCGGTCGGTGGTCATTCTCGTACTTGGCAGAGTAGTTAGGGTGGATAGCATGAGCCATGTCCGCAGAGAGGAGGAATGAGGTCGACAAAGTCTCCTCATAGGCAGTAGCCAAGTCTTCATTGCCAGATGTAGAAGAAGGCAGAACAGACAGGCGACGGATAATTGCAGGAAGCACATTTGAATCCGCTCCCTGCGCGGTACGGCTGCCGATCTCTTCGTGATCGAATAAGGCAACCAGACGAATGGATGGTTCATCGTCCAGCGCCGACGCATCGGCAACGGAGTCGATAAGTCCAACAGTGGCACAGAAGGAGCTGTTCAGGTTATCCAGCCTGGGCGAGAAAATGAATTCCTCCAACAAGCCACCAAGGCAAGACTTCTGCGTGTCGAATAAGATCATCTCAAAGTCCAAGATGTCGGCCGGCTTAACTCCTGCTTCGGCAGCAATAAGCTCCACCAGGTAGGGGTGATGACGCTCGGTCACCGATTTTAGTGGAGCGAAGTCTCCTTTCTCCGTTTCGTCGTTTGCCGCGGCCTTTTCACCGGTGGCAGTAGAATCTCCAGTGCGGTTGAGCTCTGCAGCGACAAGGCCTGCGATAGGGAACAATTGGGTTTCCTTGTTGAAAGCAAATGTCTCCTGACGATCAAGGTGGATAGCCAAGGTCGGGATCCGGAGAACTGCGAAAGATGTTAGTCACATATTATTCAAGTCAATGTTACGTGGAAACCATACTGGGCCGGTCGATCTTGACCAACTTCTGCACAATGGAGCCGTCGCCGGTCCGTACCATAGCCCGGCCTGCGACACCCAGGTCACGGTCGAACCCTAAATCACATCAGTATGCAACGCACGGAAAGAAGATGGGCAACTTCATTACAGGTGTGCCAAATGCCACCTCCATAGGTCTCTACGCCAACTTGGACGAAGCCTTCGCCGCGCTTATTGCTGACAGGCTTAATCCTCAATACGGGAGAGTCCGTGTGGGCACCGATCATGGAGATCGGGTTTCCAGGCTAGTTCACATAAATATCTGTTAGTCCTTCAGTCCCAAGGGGGCCGGGGGGAGCTTATGGTTGTTGTTAGTATGTACCTTCCATTTCTTGCCGATGGCGAACGCCACAATGGTTGAGCTATTACGGGTCAAGTAATACTTTCCACCGGGACGGCAAGTGGAAGACCAAGAGTCTTTTTCCTGAAGATGCAGTTAGTATTTTCGCTAACACTAGGGTGGAATCACATACCTTGATTTCCTGGAAGCCGGCCTTGGACAAAAGTTCCTTTGCCGATTGGACAGCGTGGAAGGCTGAATTTGGCCGGAGTTAGACAAGTGGGCCAAGAACGCATATAGGAAGGGAGCTAGTTACGGGTGGGAGAAGCATTGACATAGGACAGGAAGTCCAGAGCCGGCTGCTTCAAATTTTGGGCGAGTTTCGAAGTCATTTTTGGGTACCCCGCGAGCTAGATCCAAGTGGTTGTTTTTGTTGGAGATGGAAATTGCGGAGACGGAGAGAGTTTCTAATGACATGAGATCATGGCTGGTCTTGGCGGTAAGGCACTAAGATTCGGTTTATGGGGCCCGAACCATCCTCAACCCTAATTCGGATTCAGAACTGATAGTACGTACTCTTGTCCCTCCTCCCTATACACTCCATCTTGTAGTGACGAATACCGGAAAACTGTACTCGGCGGATTCACTTCAGACTTGACAGGTCGGAGGAAGTGCACAGGACTAATATGTAGCGCGGTACATGGAGCATCTGAAGACCCTCTCTTGCACAGGCAGTAAAATACCATACTTTAGGAGACATGAACAATGCAGCTGTGTCTCCCTGAGCCGTGTCTGCAACATGACAAGTCAAACTTATACTCTTCTCTATAACAATCCACCACAATGCCTGTTATGGGTTTTTAGACATTTGATATGTATTCCATACTCTACGTAGCTTCATGGCTTCTACAGTAGAAGCCCCGGATCGGTTAGTTAGGCGATTAGACAATTGATAGATAACATGACATAGAGGGGTCCTTCCTCTTCAAGTCCGAGAAGGCAGCAAGCTTAAGGCACATCTGCGACTAGTGCTGGAACTGGGGCTAAGGTATCGATTAAGATCAACCAATAACAATTTGAAAGGTCGCTTTGATGAGCTTGGGGGAGGCTCAGCAATTTCTAAAGTGGGTGGAGTAGATTAAGAGGCCAGGATCTTGTTTGAGAAAACGAAACCAGAGTGAAAAGTATGGGAGACAATGGAAAGCCGTTATGCTGCGATCGACGCGGAAAGGGAGAAGCGATAGTTTCTTTGGCTGGAAACTCTCCTTCATGCTGTGGTCCAAGCTTTTCCCTCGCGCGTTCAGGGCGCGTGTCATGAGGGCGGTCGCGAGGAAACCCGAAAAAGTGGCACCTCGAACTAGCTATCGATGGACGCTGATCCAATCATTCATCGAACCGGTCGCGTCAGTCGAATCGCGTGTTTCCTGAGACATCAATAATTTATCGCCTGATCAGAAAAAGCATCATAAGAACGAAAGACAATGAAAAATGGCACTTTATTATCGGTATTGATTGTGCTGAGTGACCTTGCAAACAGTTGTAGTTGTCGTGGGATAAACAAGAGCATGTTCTCCGTAGTACAGGTAACAGTGCACTATGTTGCGCGGGATGATCTATCTAATCAGTCCCAGCGTTTAGGGGTGACTACCTAGAGGCACCACAACGTTTCAGAATTGAAGAGACTTTGGACCAACGACAAGAGTGAAAGATCGGTCTCTTCTGGATCTAGTAAATTTAAATGGGAGACAACTGAAGAATAAGAAATCAAGCCTAAGAGGGCAAAAAAGACGTGACAGCCTCCAACAACCCAGATAGGCTTAGCGCAGCCGACGCGTGACTGGGAGGGAATCCCCTTCGAAACTCCGTCACCCCCCAAGAGGGCCCCAATCACCAGCCCTTGGATCCAACCTTCACTGTTGTTTCAACATCCCATTCCTCACCAGACGGTGGTCGGGTCCGTCTCAAATGACCTCCACAAGTTGCTTGAATACTTTCAATCAGCACTAAGTCTGGTGAGAGGTACAATCTATTCATTCGTCGTCGCTCTCTCAAGCCGCCAGACCTCTACTTTAGCTGGATTATTGCTCGGAGGCGGAGAAGGGTTTGGTAGTCGTCAACCGATTCATTCACCACCACCCCCCAAAAAGGCGCCGTGCAGCGATCCGATTGACGGGAAACACAAAATATCTTCCTAATCTACCATCTCACAAGCGCTTTCACAATTGATCTACTATATACCACCATACACTTTGCGATCCGACATTGGCGACTGTCGCATTACCCAGACTGGCCAAAGCCCATCCCTCCTTCGACCGCCATTTGAACCAGGCGAGATCAGCCACCCCCGCCAGAAGGATGGGCGACAACATCCACGACACAAATACGGTTGCCACCCGCAGCGCAACAAGAAATGCTTCACGTGCGAAACCATCGGGAAGTGCCGCCAATGCATTGAACCTCGCATCCCCACCTGGGTCAAGAACGCCGCCCAGCATGCCATCAAAAAAGACCATATTCTATCCTGATTCGCTAGGGAGGCAACATAAAACCCGACATGGCTCGGAGGCCATTGACCCAGATGCGCTTGCGAAGGCTTTGAAGGATTACGAGGACGCTGGGCGCCCTCACGAGAGAACACCCGGGACCAGTCCCAGTCGGAAAAGGCAGCGAGTATATGGCGACAGGTCAGTAACGACAGTTCCCCCTAGAATGGCCCACCATCGTCCTACAGTTCTTCTGCGCCTACTCTAGGATGTCCGGTCGATCCATTGCTAAACTCCTGAGTAGATTTATCCCGAATCGGGAGGGGCAGGACCTCCAGGCAACCTACAGTTTGCTCCACGAGGACGGGTGCCCTTCTACACCTTCGAAATCGAAAAAGCGTGCGCCGCACTCGGAGCTTCATTTTCAAAAGAGTTAGTCCGCACCTTCTCCACGTTTACGAAGTGAAATTTCGACTAAAATCTTTTCCAGCGGAGGAAGCAAACAGGATGTACTCACGAGTCCTACGGAGCGAGCTGTTTGGTAGTACTGTCCCGCAAGCTGACCTAGAATCATTATCACCGGATCCTTTGCTGGGCCTCGGTAATGGTATCAATGAAAAGACTCGCTCCCATACCCCTCCGTCGCATGTGTCCAATCTTCCTCCAGCAAGCATAACACCGTCGACACCCCACAAGAACCTTTTCAACTACGCCTCCCCACGTGGATCTGGACATCCCACCCCTTCTAAAACCCCCCGGAGTCAACATGGCCCCAACCTTAATGTTCGATCAGAGCTTTACAGTCTGTCACCGATCCGCTACGATAGCCAGCGCATCCTTGAGACCCCCCGCAAACAACCACGTTATGTCAACAAAGTACCATACAAGGTACTGGACGCGCCTGACTTGCAAGATGATTTCTATTTAAATCTGGTGGACTGGGGAAGTAGTAACGTATTAGGTGTTGGCCTTGGAAACTCCGTCTATATGTGGAATTCGCAAAGCGGAACAGTAACTAAGCTATGTGAGCTCAGAGACGATACCGTCACGAGCGTCAACTGGATTCAAAGGGTGAGTCATTCAAAGCATATCGCTGCATTGACGTGGGAACTAACGGAGACACGTACAGGGTACACATCTTGCTATAGGGACTGGGAAGGGACTTGTGCAGATCTGGGATGCAGAACGCTGTCGCCGTCTACGAACGATGATTGGCCATACCAATCGTGTAGGTGCCCTGGCTTGGAATGATCATATCCTTACATCCGGCTCGCGAGATCGCCTCATCTATCACCGAGATGTCCGCTCTCCAGATCAATACCTCCGGCGGCTTTCTGGCCATAAGCAAGAAGTCTGCGGTCTCCGATGGAATACAGAAGACGGTCAATTGGCTTCGGGTGGTAACGATAACAAGCTTTTGGTATGGGATAAGCTTAACGAGACGCCCCTCTATCGATTTTCTGACCACACTGCCGCTGTGAAAGCGATTACTTGGTCGCCCCATCAGCATCATTTGCTTGCATCGGGTGGTGGAACGGCCGATCGAACTATCAAGTTCTGGAATACCTCGACTGGATCTTTGATCAAGGAAGTTGACACGGGCAGTCAAGTCTGCAACCTAGCCTGGTCGAAGAATTCGGACGAAATCATCAGCACACACGGCTACAGTCAGAACCAGATTGTAATCTGGAAATATCCACGTATGGAACAGATCGTATCATTAACGGGGCATACGTTCCGTGTCCTGTATCTGGCAATGAGTCCCGATGGCCAAACGGTGGTTACGGGTGCTGGTGATGAGACTTTGCGGTTTTGGAAAATTTTCAACAAGAGGTCCGGGAGAGACCAAGGGCGTGAAGGCAGCAAGTTGGCGGAATGGGGCACCATCCGGTGATATTACGATCGATATTTTTGATGACCTTAGTGCTACGGCATCTTTAACATACCCTGCAAAGGGGTTTCGATATGCATTAGACACGGCGTTCACGGAATTTGGCGTTGTTTCGATCCTGGGTATATCCTTGGTCGGTCCGGGGGAAGGGCTATCATGGTTTAATTGGCATCTCTCGCATTTTGTGGGTTTACGGCATTTGACAGGCGCTTGTTTGCGAGGCGCTTGTGTCCCAGCATTTGATCACATATTTTGTCATGTACCGTTGGCCTTATTCGTGCTGCACGCACTTTCGCCACTAAGCCTGCGTTTCTGCGCCACTTCGTTTGATTTTACATTAACCAACCTTGTTTCCGTTACTAGGCCACTAACTAGCCTTTCGCAACCAATCCCGCATCTCTCTGTGCACTCAGAAATGTAAGCGACGGCGCTCATGGTGTTCGACAGGTGGCCAACTGCGGCGTCTGCTCCTCAGGACAGGTGGTTGCGAAGCCTCGAGTTCTCTCATCTTTCCATTGTCGCATTATATGTACCTTTTTTCTCTCTTCCTTTTTTTTTTTTTTTTTTTTTTTTTTTTTGGCAGGATTGATGATGAGATGACTTATTAAATCAGGTCTGACTTTAGTTCGCTATATTCCAGGGTCTCATCCACTCCGGAGACACTTGCAATGTGAAGCAGTGTTGACCATTGTGTTAAGAATAATAAGAATGAACTCTGCCACTGTGGATCTAAAGTAGACGCTCGCGTATACATGTACCGTAGTATGTTATCTATATTCATTTTGCTTGCCACCTTTTTCCAACTACCTTTCTATTCTATCCCAACTTACTAACAACAGAATGCTGGCTTAACAAGTAACAGCGAGTGCCAGCTTGCTATCCATGAGTATACGTAATGGATTAACGAGAGCACGTTCGATTGAGTTCTGTTACCATGGCTCCCAGGCGGCCCGGCCCTCGAACTAGTCGGAACAACCCTATCTAAATATCGTACTGATGGCCTCTGCAAACAAAACTTCGTAAAATAGGTCCTAGTCAAATCCTAATATCCTTCAATGTGGACATGACAGATATTCCCAGTATGATAAAGCTCACAAAGCCGACTTCTTCTTCTTAGTATACCCGGCAGTCCTGAACCCAGGCCACTCAGTCGGCAGTTCTTCCACAATGAACCGGAATATGGCAGCCTGTACCTCTTCCGGCTTTTCATATTGTGCAAAGTGTCCTGCGTCGATGGTAGCCTCCGTCAAATTACTACAATTCTCTCTCATCGGCTCGATCAGGCCAGACGTTATGGTATCACACACCACATCCCTGACGTCATGGATAAACAGGACAGGTTGGTCCAGCTTCCCATCACGCTTCCCATTGTATTCTGCGTTCCGTGCATGGTGAAGGTAGTACGCAGATCCTGGCCAAAAGCCAGTCCTCTCCATATCCTGAACAAACGAGTCGAAGACCTCCGCAGGGAGCACCGGAGGTCCTGTCATGTCCACACTCGGGGGCTTTGGCGCCCCGCCCATCCATCCACCGGCCTTGCGCACGTTGGCAGTCAGTTGGGCAAAACGGCTAGATGGGGGCTGGCTCGGTTGCAGTGAAGCCTTGCAGAATCCTGCAACGTCACGGTCAAACCATTCCACGGTTTTTTCGAAGTTCTCCTCCCAGTTCTTCATATAGTCCCACTGGCCGAACTCGTATTCGTCCGCCGGGTAGAGTTCGCGGTTCACGAACGGCAGGAAGCCCTGCCAGCCGCGCTCGATAGTGTGGAATGGCACAGAGAGATTCACCAGTGCTTTAACCACCTCGGGGTGTTGCGTCGCGACGGAGGACGTGACGCCTGCGCCCCAGTCGTGGCCGACCCAGATCGCTGCATCGCGGCCTGTGTCGGCTAGCAAAGCCATCATGCCCTCCACGATGGCCTCTTGACAGTAGTCGTCGACCACGCGGCGGGCTGTCGACTTCCCGTATCCTGGCATATCCGGGGCAATTGCGCGAAACCCCACGGATGCGAAGGCATCGATTTGCGCCTTCCAGGTGATTGCGGTGCCCGGCCAGCCATGGATAAAGAGAACCAGAGGGCCATTTACAGGGCCTGCTGCTAGGTAGTGAATCTGTTTGTCGCCCGCGTAGACGACGTTGTGGTCGGTGATGGCTACCATGATGATCTGATCTGATATGTTACTGTACTTCCAATCGGAAGTTCAGATTCTCGCCGATCTGTGAAACGTCAGTTGTTCTGCGTTGCTTGTTTGATGAGCTTGAACATACGAGGTTGATTCTATGTTGTCTCCTCAATCTTTCGGTTAAAAGTCTTGGGGTTGATCAGGTGGGGGTGAGATTTGTTATGTATTTATAACTAACTACTACTAAGGACTCGGTAAGCACTGCCCCTCCCTCCAATCGTGAAACATGAGATTTAATCCATGGAGTACACTTACTCATTAATTAGAAGTCACTGCTATGGTAATTATTCACACGAGTCACCCGCCATAAATCAGGCGTGACATACCCTGTTGCCGACTGACTCCGAGTTCGTTCTCAATTGTTAACCCGACAATGGATGTCAATTCTCCTGGGCCGGGATTAAACGCCGGGCTTATGCTCAACGCCGGTCAAACGCCGCTAACTCCTTGCTCTGTTATTGGATGAAGAGTTTCTCTCTGGAATTCAAAAAGGAGGATATGGCCGTCGAAATGGTATTGAAACCCATCATCACAGATTGTAACGATTTCAAAGCTTTATCAGCGTGCACCTCCATTGGACAAAGATGCCCGAGATTGTTGGCAAGGAAGTAGGCCCCATTGGCTTGGGTCTGATGGGATTGACTTGGCGAGCGACGCCACCGTCTCAAGAGCAGGCCTTCGAGGCTATGCGTGCCGCCATCCATAATGGAAGTAGGTGATTGATCGCCCGGCAGGTAGCCTGCTGGTCCTTTTTTCATCTACGGTAGTTAACCCTTGTGACTCCAGGCAACTGTTGGAATGGCGGCGAGTTCTACGGACCCCCTGATTGCAATAGTCTCGTGCTCCTGGAACGGTACCTTGAGAAGTATCCGGAAGATGCCGATAAAATCGTTCTGAACATCAAGGGTGGTTTAAACCCCCAAACGCACCAGGCAGACGCCTCGCCGGAGAACACACGCAGAAGCCTGGATAATTGTATTGCTCAGTTAAAGGGTCGCAAGCAAAAGATTGACATATTTGAATTCGGCCGCCGCGACCCAGCTGTGCCGATGGATGTTACCTTTGGTCTAATTGATAGGGAGTATGTCCAGACTGGAAAGATTGGGGGAATTGCGCTGTCAGAGGTGCGGGCTGAGACCATTCACGAAGCCGTCAAGTACACCAAGGTGGTTGCGGTAGAGGCCGAGCTCTCCTTGTAAGCTACCTGAATCGATTCTATGGCCGCATTTGTTGACTGAGACAGGTTCTCTACGGACATCTTGGAGAATGGCGTCGCAGCGGCATGCGCTCAATATGGGATTCCAGTCATCGCCTACTCACCCATTGGCAGAGGCATGTTAACCGGCCAGTTCAAGAAGTTTGACGACCTCCCCAAGGATTCGTTGTTGTTCTCCTTCAACTTCCCTCGCTTCCAGAAGGGTAATTTCGAGAAAAACTTGCAGCTGGTCGAGAAGGTAGAGGCAATCGCGAAGAAAAAGGACTGCACGCCAGCACAGCTGGCTATTAACTGGACGAGAACGTTATCCAGGCGTCCGGGGATGCCAACTATCATTCCTATTCCCGGTGCCACATCAGCGGAGCGGGTGAATGAGAACAGTAAGCTTATCGACATCACGGATGAAGAGATGGCGGAGATTGATGCGATTCTGGCGACGTTCACCCCGGCTGGTGGACGATATGCTGAGTTCATTCCGACTAATACATAGGGCTATGAGGGCTGTGTCTGAGTGGGCAAATGTACCACAATGAAGGCGGTATGCGTTTATGTAAGCTTTTTGCTTTGAAAGTTTGTCTTGTATCATTGTGGCTTCCCTGTGAGGTGAGCAGGATTTAAATGTACCTATAAAATGTCGATGCCATGTCAAAGTGGTGCTCGTATACCTTGAACATAGCGAACTATCCAGTTCCATCCTTTCAAGAAAGCCCCTTGGGAAACTACGTTGGATATAATCATGCAATTCTCGCAGTCTTACAACAAGACACAAGCAAGACCTCAACTGAACGTTCGAAAAGAAACTAGCCCTAACTAGAGTAACAAGTTGGAGAGGTTTCACGGCACTTTTATTAGGAATAACAGATACACTCCATTTAATTGAGGAAATAGATGTCCTTCCGAGGAAAGAGAGCAAAGAATTGTAGTTTTGGATCCATCCAACTAGAGTATCTGGCTTGTCTCTCAGTAATCATCGACCTTTTACTGTCCATTTCGAGGCGTCTCCGGGTAGAAGCTGACCGGTTCTCTCCACCAGCTTCTTTCCTGCGACGTGATATCCAAGTAAGTGAGCGTGGGAAGATTTCACGATATTCAGAGAGATGACCTTAGAATGCCAGGGTAATGCCAGGGTAGCCCCGAAATGCCCACTGAGCACGGCACTAAGTACCTTTACTAAAGCAGTGGCATCCCGAGAAGGATGAAAAAAAAAAAAAAATTCCGGTTCGTATAGGTGTATATATGATATAACACAGCCTCCGATAATCTCTCGATTGGAGATGCGCCCCAAACCTAATTGGGACCGATTTCATTACTTATGCTACACTGATTATAGAACATTAGCCCAGATGATCCGATGACATACTTCTACGCAGTCTCTTAGAACTTACAATATGGATTGAAGATTTATAGAACTAGCCTTCCAGGCTCAACCGTCAAAAGAGCCTTGACCCGGTCCAAGAAAACCCTAGCCCTCTTCTCTTCTTCAACAGGAACAGTCAGACTGAAGACATTGGCGGCGCTACCAGCCGGAGCTTCCACCACTGACGGCCGGGAAACAGCCTTGGGGGCCTTGCCGCTGAGAATATCGATGATGTCTTCCTTAACGGGCTTGGCCGGCTGAACGGCGGAGGGCGCTTCAACTGCGTTTAACTCAGGAACGTAATCGCCTCGGGATGTTTGAATAGGCTTTGCGCCGAGAACCTCATCGAATAGCTCGTCGACGGACTGCTTCTCGCGAGACGAACGGGGAAGGTCGTCGTTGGCCAGATCGGTAGCACGGGCGAGGAATGTCGCAAGAGGCACGTTCACACCCAAAGTCTCTTGGATCTTCTTCTGGACGGACAGAACAGTAGCCAGGGAGATCGAAACGGCTACGGAGGTAGTTGGTGGAGGTCTAGCGACTGGCTCCTCGGCCACTGGCTGTGGCTCAGCGGGCGTGGGCGGCGCGGCGATCTTGATGTTGCTCAGATCGAGGTGGGCAAGCTTATCAAACCGGACTTGCTGGGTGGCTGGATAATCAGCTGGGATAGAGCCGAGGTAGGCGAGGACATCGCCCTTGAGAAGACGGCCCTTGGGGCCAGACGCCGGAATCTTCGAAACCTCCGATTCTGGAATGCCCTTCTCGTGAAGGAGCTGGATAACGGATGGGTAGAGTGGGTAGGCGGGGTTCTGGGTCTGAACGGCAGAAGAAGATGCCAGGCCTAGATAATCCGGTCAAACGCGATGTCAGCGTACAGGTCTCGGAAGGAGTATATATTCTAAGCGCCTTTGCGAAAGAATCTCTCTCATTTTGATATCCCGCGGGCAACTTACGTCTCGTAGTACCAAGTACGCGTGGTTGCCGTCTGGCAAGCACGGCCGGAATTTGACGCACGGTGAAGCTGGAGGCCATTTCTAGATATAAAAAGATCTCTCTCTATAGATTCTGGGTTGTATGCTTTTCTCCGGTCGTATGATACTCCCGTGACGCTGGAATTGGTATCGGCGGACAAGGGACAGGAACGATCAAGAACCCACCACCACGTCGATGGGGCCGCACGGAAACCCAAGTGGATCGTGTGACTCGAGGCGATATCGCGGATCTAAAACTTATTGTACGAAGACATAAACGCTGGATTTAACTGCAAAAAGGTGAGACCGACCTTGTAGAGATGTTGAGGTTGTTGGGAGCTTCACCGGCCGCCCGGACGGGAACATTTTTCTGCCGCGGAGAGGACCGGATTCCAGGTCCGTCACTGTTGCTGAGAGCTATCGGAGTTCTCCATTGAACTATCGGTAAGTCCATTTTTCCTATTGTTCCTTTCAATTGCCTAGCTCTAGGTTGTATGCACTGTCGGAGGCCAATACCCGTCCAGAATTCTGCGATTTCCACCTCGTATTTGGTCCCTCTATGTACTGTATTCCAATGCTAATGGACCGTTATGTCTTAAACTAGGGTACCATAATGTTTGCAAGATCTTTTGCTTTCCGGGCATTTTCGCCGCAGTGTTCTAGGACCTCTATGACCCCCGGGCTGTCTGTGTCAAGCCCAACATGGAGATACTTCACTTCTAGTGCTGTTCGACCAAAGGCCGCAGTTAAGGTCAAGCCACAATATAGCCCTCCGCAGTTCAAAGCATCTCCGCAAACCGAGCAAAGCCTGAAATTTGCTGGACGACGAGCAGAGGGCTTCGGAAAGTTAGAACGAAAAGTTGCAAAAGAAGGACAGGTATTACTTTTCCAAGCGCCATCACATCGCAGCTATATTCTAGGTGCCTACGGAATTTCAGCATTTTGCTTCGCTTACTCCGTGTACAACTCTAACGTTGTCTTCCGCGATCCGATAATACCTCTTCCAATGTGGCAGCAGGCTCTTTTTGGCGGTATTTGTGTCATGATGAGCGTGATGGGTACCGTGTTCCTCTTCAAAACTGGACGGCTGATCAAAACAGTCAATGCTGTTCAGTCTAACGGACAGGCATGTCTCCGCTTCACTGTTCGGAGCTTCATTCCTTTCAGGAAACCATTTGAGTTCGATGCTTTACCTCATCAAATAGCGTTTTCTCGTCGGCTAGTTGTGACGCATGATTCTGTGGCCCGCATGCAGCATGCAGAGGCCGCTCAAAATGGGAACGTGAGCTTCTTCAAAGCGCCTTTGAAGAAGACAAGCATGCTCCTATGGAGACTATTCAGGTCTGTCCGGCAATTGTTTACACAAGAAGACTTCATCCTCTTGGAGGTCGAAGGTCAAAAGGGTGTTATGAGAATGGATTCTGCGGGATTCGTATCGCAGGACTTTCTTGTGATTGGCAATCCGGTCACTTATAGGCGTTAGATGACTGGCTGATCAATTTGGCCTGCTGTGGGCCATCTGATTGTGATTTTCATTCTGAAGATGTCTAATACGGCCATTGTTCTTGGTCCCCTTGATTGGGGCCTTTTTGCATCCTGAACTTGTGAAGCGTCTCGATCTGTCCTTGTACAACAGATTCCCATGTATAAATTAAACCAATTTTTCTATAGATGTCGCAGTACCGAGCATAGTCTAAGTGAATTTAAAAAAAAAAAAAAAACAAACAAAAACGTTGAAGACAACATCATGGTTGTATTGTCAGCTGCACGTGACCTCCCGGCGCGTCCTCCTAATTGTCAGTGACGCGACTTCCAGATCACTATCGCGCAGGCCCCTCCAATCACCCGACGGTCAGTTGTCATTTACCCCAGAGTCTCTGGGTCGCCTGAGGCAGTTCTTTGGCGCTTCGATTTATATTACCAGACTTGCAACCGCAGTCGCCGAAAAGCGACTGCCTTGTCGCAAGATGGGGAAGCTCATCAGGCTCGAGCTTTTTAGTACGCAGCGCCTTCAGAAGGTCATGGTACACACTTAATTACTGACTGGCATACAGACTTCAAATCATACAAGGGACATCATACCCTTCTTTTCGGCGATGCCTATTTCACATCTATTATCGGGCCGAACGGGTCCGGAAAGTCCAACTCGTGCGCTTCTCCGTATCCCCCGACTGGAAACGTACGTGCGCTGATCATACTAGGATGGATGCTATTTCCTTTGTGCTAGGAATCAAGTCTTCTCACTTGCGATCTACGAACCTTCGCGATCTTGTCTACCGCGGTCGTGTCCTGCGCACCTCGAAGCTTGATGCCGATGGTAATGTTATCGACGAAGAACCGAACGGACAGGATCACGCAGAAGATGGAGTCGATGGAGAACAATCACAAGACCCTAGCGGATCGAATGATCCTAAAACAGCTTGGGTTATGGCAGTCTACGAGGACGATGCCGGCGAGGAGCAGCAATGGCGACGATCGATTACGAGTCAGGGAGTCAGTGAATACCGTATCAACAGCCGCATCGTGACTGCGCAGCAATATAATGAGGCTCTTGAGGCGGAGAATATCTTGATCAGAGCGCGCAACTTCTTGGTCTTCCAGGGTGATGTGGAGGCGATTGCATCACAATCACCGAAGGACCTTACCCGGTTGATTGAGCAGATTTCTGGAAGTCTGGAATACAAGGCTGAGTACGAACGTCTCAAAGCGGAGGCAGAGGAGGCTGCAGAGCAACAGACAGTCCAGCTCAACCGTCGGCGAGCCATCAATTCCGAGATCAAGCAATACCAAGAACAGAAGCGGGAGGCCGAGAATTATGCCCGTAAAGCGGAGGAGCGCGACCAAGCTATCATCACTCACATCCTCTGGAAGCTCTTCCATTTCCAGCGCATGATCGACGACTCCAGTGCAGAGATCTTGAAGTACCAAGATGAACTCAAGGAATATCGCCGGGGCGTTGAGAAGTACGAGAAAAATGTCGAGGAAGCTAAGAAAGCGCACGCGGGTGTTGGTCGAGAGGTAGCAAAGGCTGAGAAGAATATCGCGAAGAAGGAGAAGGATATCGAAGAAGCCGCCAATGACTTGGTCCCGATTGACGAGAAAGTCGACATTACTATGAAAAAGGTAGAACGGTTTGCCTCTCGAATTGCGGAGATTGGCAAGGAGCGAGACTCGCAGTCAGCCAATGTCAAACGTCTCGAAAAAGACTTTAAGGTCGTTGAAAAGGCCCAATCCCAGTGGGAAGCAGAGTGGCAAAAGACAATGACCAAACAAGGTGTTCAGCTGAGCGAGGCTGACCAGCAAGAGTATAACAAATTGAAAGAGGAAGTCAATAAGCGATCGTCTGCGGAGCAGTTGAACCTCGACAATTTGCGGCGCCAAATGAAGACTGAAGCCGAAGCCCACAACAGCCTTAAAAGCAAGTTTGAAAGCACAGAGTGGCAGCTTAAGACTTTAGAATCGGATACACACTCCTTGACTGAGCGTAGATCCTCTATCAAGGATACGGTCAAAACTACATCTAAGGACATCGAACGCAAGAAGAAGGAGTTGAACGCACTTACTTCCGAACGGCTGCGTGTTTCGCAGATGAGGACTGAACTTGAGGAGAAGCTACAAGTTGTCTTGAAGAAACTTCTTGAAGCTGATGACGGCAAGAAGCAGACTGAGAGGGAGATTAGAACAAAGGAGCTGATCTCGACTTTGAAGCGTATCTTCCCTGGGGTGAAAGGCCGCGTCAGTGACCTATGCAAGCCGAAGCAGAAAAAATATGCCGACGCTGTCAGCACTGTTCTTGGCCGTCACTTTGATGCTATTGTTGTTGACAACGAGAAAACTGCCAAAGAGTGTATCCAGCATCTTCGTGATCAGAGAGCCGGTCAGGCTACATTTATTCCTCTGGAGACTATCCAAGTTAAGGCATTCAATTCTAACCTGAAGGGAATGCACAGAGGAATGCGCCCCGCGATTGAAACAGTGGATTATGATGACTCTGTGTCCAGGGCTATCAGCTACGCATGCGGAAACGCCATTGTGTGTGATGACTTGGCGACAGCCAAGTATCTCTGCTACGAAAAACACGTGGATGCCAAGGCCGTTACTCTTGACGGTACAGTTATCCACAAGGGCGGCTTGATGACTGGTGGCCGAGGCCCTCAGCAGAATTCGAAGCGCTGGGAAGATTCCGAAGTAGAGAATCTGTTCAAGCTCAAGGACAAATTGATGGCCGACCTTGCCAATCTGCCCAAGGGCCACCGTCGAGGTACGGAAGAAGAAACGCTGCAAGGAGAGCTGGTTGGTCTTGAACAGCGCTTGGCGTATGCCCAAGAGGAGCTGAAGGCTCTGGAGAGGAACCTCCAAAGCAAGCACACTGAATTGGACTTTGTTAAGCGCCAGCTCGAGGAGTTGAGGCCCAAGTATGTGGAGAAGCAGGAAGAGCTGGCGGAGCTTGAACAGACCATCACAGCATCGCAGGAAACCGTCAGCAATGTTGAAGATGAGGTCTATCGTAAATTCTGCAAGCGCCTTGGGTACAACAACATTCGTGAATATGAAGTTCAACAGGGATCCCTGCATGAAGAGGCTGCCCAGAAGAAACTTGAATTCACAACCCAAAAGAGCAGAATTGAGAATCAGCTTAGTTTTGAGAAGCAGCGTCTTCAGGCCACTCTTGATCGGATCGCCAGTCTGCAGACTCAACACCAGCGTGACCAGGATATGATAGAAGAGCTCAAACAAGAACAAGAGCGCATTCGTGACCAACTGGATGAGCACAATGCGGAGCTTGAAATTCTTCGTGAACGTCTGGAGCAGCAGAAGGAATCTTACGCGCAATCCGCTGAAAACCTCACACAACATCGTAGAGAGCTTCAAAGGCGCAGCAGGGATGTGGAAGCTACGTTGAAGAATGTGAATGCATTGGAAACAGAGGTCCAGCGTAACTCATCCAGCCGATACGCTCTTCTTCGGCGCTGCAAACTCGAGGATATTGACCTCCCATTGACCGAGGGATCAAACCCGCTAGATCAGCTTCCTATTGATGAGCTTGTCCAAGCAGCTGATCCTGACGCAATGGATGTTGATGAAGACGCGAACGGTGGCGCTGACGGCGCTTTCATTGTTCAGGATTATGGTATTGAGGTTGATTTTGACTCTCTCGGCGAAACACTCAAGGAGGTAAGCAATGCTATCTATGCTGTTCCAGAACATGTACTAACTATCACCTAGGAGTCCGACGAAAAGCTTGAAGAGGAGCTACTAGATAAGGTTCGGTCTTTGAACAGTGAACTCGACAAAATGGCTCCGAACACACGTGCAATGGAACGGCTGGAGAGTGTCGAGAACAAACTCCGAAGCACAGAGAAGGACTTTGACGAGTCACGGAAACACGCCCGAAAGACCAAGGAGGAATTCGAAGAAGTGATGCGCCAACGATCAGAGCTATTCAACAAGGCGTTCACTCACATATCGGAGCAAATCCAGCCCATCTATCGCGACTTGACAAAGAGTAGCAACTATCCATTAGGTGGACAAGCGTAAGTTACGGGTAGTTCGTGTACGATTAACCTGCGCCTATACTGATGAGACATTACCACTCGATAGGTACCTGGACATCGAGGATTCAGATGAGCCATATCTTGATGGTATCAAATACCATGCCATGCCACCGCTTAAGCGTTTCCGAGACATGGAGCACCTCTCTGGTGGTGAGAAAACCATGGCGGCCTTGGCTCTCCTGTTTGCCATCCATTCGTATCAGCCATCGCCATTTTTTGTGCTGGACGAAGTTGATGCTGCCCTCGACAACACTAATGTTGCACGGATTGCGAACTACATCCATGATCATGCTGCTCCGGGTATGCAGTTCATTGTCATCAGTTTGAAGACTGGTCTCTTCCAGAACAGCGAGGCCTTGGTTGGAATTTACCGAGACCAGACCGAGAACAGCAGTAAATCCTTGACCCTTGATGTGAGTTTTACCTTTCTCTCCCCTTGAATGATATGTGGGCGCGGCGATTGACTTTGGTTCCTCTTGCAGCTCCGGAAATATAATTAGACGACTCGGACTGGTATATTCGCCTTCAGGGGAAACGGTCCTTTCTTGATGATATGTAGAATAGTTCTTTGATCTTCCTCCTTCGTGGTTCATAGCTACGATACTACTGGTTCTTGCAACGGAATAACGGTTCGCTGTAGGCAATTGAATTGCTTTCTTTTGATGTACAGTGGCAGTGCACAGTAGCGAAGTTAATCTGCCCATTGATTTCGTACTCCATAAGGAGTAACCAAAGTGGCAAATTCCCCCTTAAAGGCCTGGCAGTCTCCACTTTTGACACCAACATTTGCCGACCAGTTGAGCACATATTCAATAGTTTGAATCCTCCCGTGACATGAGAAAGGCACAGACTGCGTTGCGTGGAGGGCCTGGGTCCTGGCATTGGTATTTCATCCGGAGCATAAACGTGGTCGTTTCAGCTTCCTACGAAAGGTTGTCCCAAGGTATATTCCCTCGGCGGGACATTTGCAGTTACATGAGAGGCGGATCCTATTGCAGCATGTAGCTACTATCCTTGCTTTGTGACAGTTCGGGATACTGCACAGCGCGTTCGGGAGATAGATACCCCATCCCCCTAGGTAGTGGGTTGGTTATCTGGACTCTGGAGTATAGCCTGGACAAGTGGAATTTCCCAAGCCCATGCATACGAGCCCAGGCGTGAACCGTCGATATACTAATGGCAAAGAATGGAGGCGATCCCAGATTGCCTATTATGGCAATATCGTTTCGGCAACCCCATTTGGACTTTTGGCGATTGGGGGCGAAAAAAATGAAATAAAATAAAATAAAAACAAAAATAAATAAAAACACAAGAGCTGAAGTGTGGGTACGTACTTGAAGGCGAAATGGAGTATGGGTGGGGAAACCTCTCCATGGAGATATGAAAAGGGTAGACCCGATACTCTGGGTCGAGAATCAATAGACTATGGAAACTTACATTCCGGTTGCCTGTTTTCCGTGTCCGTCAGATCGGCGTTCGATCAATGGTGGGCAGGCATTGAGATAACTAATCGGCTGTGTCCGTCGAGTCCTGCCAGCTGGGTAGACCGTAAGCCACAAAGCGGTTGTGCCATTGTGGATTTTTCCTATATATGGACTCGATGGAGAGGCGGGGCCCACTTCTGTAAGAGATGAGGCAGTGGAGCTTGGGGGTTCGCCATCCGAGTGGTTGCGCACTTTTCTTCAATCTATTAGGGGTGCATGGAAGTCGCGCTTTTCTGTACGAGTAAACCTACTTTGGTATGCGCCGAGTGGAGCGTAATTGGCGACCGTATGCATCGTAAATCCGGATACAACCTAGCTAGACACATTATGAGATGGGATCCACCCTGGATGTAATCCGCGTTACGGAATACTAGTACGTAGAAACGACTAACGAGGGATCCGAGTCGAGCAAATGTCAGAACGAGAACGGCCTTGTGGGGAGGTCTCTTGAATCCTGGTGTGGTTTCAGATGGTGAGCCTCCCATTTCCAAGGCAAAAGATCGTCTTCCCCGGATACGCGTTTTAATGAAACGCAGATCAGTGCGAGGTCGATCTTCAGAGATAGAGTTTTGTGCTGAGAACCATCGAATCTCGGGTTGAATTACAGTAAGTATCAGCGAAGGATTTCATGGACCGAAGTAACGCTTTAGATCATGTAAACAGCACGCACTTTACAGAGAGAAGTGCGTGGTTGTCAGTCATGTTCTCCATTGGCAATGATGGCTGTCATCGTAAGTTGAGGCGGTAGGGGTCAAAGCGCGGATAGATGGGAGATTTGCATCAATATCAGCAACGCGAGAGCAATAGTGTACTGTGAGATAAATTAAGTATTGAATGTCATCTGTACTTTGTACTTTCGATAAGGATGCATCTACCGATTGCGTCCGTACCAGCGGGATTTCATCGTTAAGCTAGTATGCAACGACAATAGCCAGGAGGTTATTCATCGAATGGTCGGTGTGGAAGCACGACGATCTGCGTTAATGTGTTCGATATCTCATAAATCCACGGCCCAATTAGTTGGCTCGGACTTGAGGGCCAGAAAACAGGTATCCAGGCCCCAAATGGATTAATCGATTTCTGTCAGTGCTCAAGCTGCACTAGTGCTGCTGATAACCATACTTGGAGAAGATGAGTGAGTGATTGGGAGTGTCGTCTCGTATCGACTGGCATTCTATGAACACCGTTAAGAAATAAGCAAACCCAACAATGTCTGGCAAGGCACCATAAGTGCCCAAGGTCTGCCAGTCGCGATTCTGACTGTCAGTTTGCAACGCTACTATGGTGTCGCTCGGGTCTCCTATCTGCAAGCCATCCTGCAGAGTGCCACATCCCGGTAGCTCTCAGTATGGCCACCATTTGGTGCTTGCGTACGTGGCTGTTCTTGATGCCCATGGCTCCCCTGTCATCATGTTGCAGTAGTAATTCGGACTTGCCACCCGTCCATCAATCAAAGCAAGTTTAGAAGGAAAGAAAAGAAAATTCGACTTTCCCCGCAAAGGAGAGGAGGTATTTACTGTTCAATTTGCCATTTGGCTTAGCCGCCCCTCCCCCTGCCTGATCACCATCTCCAGGAATCTTCCGAGTGCCACCGACAGCGTACCATGGTCTGAATAGCTACTAAATTAGTGTGATCTGTCCAGGACCCCATATTGCTTTTTCTTCCTCCTTTGTCTTTCAGCTGCCTCAATGCAGAAAATTTAATTCATAAGTGTCAGTGGGGGCTCGCCGGAGATGAGCGTATCCAATGGTGATGATCGGATATCTTCTCCGTGGGACGGTGGAACAGCGTATATCTCTCCCCAAAAATACCTTTGGAACAAAAGGAACGAACTGCAATCTGTATCGTTCATTGTAAGAATAAATATTCGGCCACGCTCGGGCTTTTCATTTTATTGGCCAAGAACAGTATCTATCACGCATGTCAAGACTCAAGAGTCCTCCTGCATCGTCTACCATCTCAACATTTTCGAGTTGCTATCGTTTTTAGGTGAACTTTATTGAAGCGATCGGCGGTCAAGCTGCGACTTTGATGTCCAATCTTCGTACAGGGTCTTGTTGGGAGGTAACGCTTTGAACCCAACTGACGTTGATCTGATACGAAAGGAGCTAATCCCACTGGCGGGTAATAGTTCCAGAACGTAGCATGTTGAGCAGCAGCTCAGGTCTAAGGACCTTCATAACGCCTCAAAAGAAAGGCTTTAGTCGCTGTTTGAAAGGATCTCCGGCGCCATTACCGAACCTTGGAGCGGGCCTTGTGGAGAAACTAGAAACAGGCCGCGTTAGTCTCATTCCATTCGAGTTGACGTTCGTTCAGATCTTCCCTGGACCATGTGACGCCCACTTGGAATAGGGCATCAGTGCTGCGGAAATTCGAAGGAAATCCTTTCGGAAAGTCAAAGCCCGCACTATAGTGTCGATGGGCTGTTCCAGACAAATAACGGGCTATATGATTGGTAGAAAGGGCGCCGAGCCAATGCCTTTCTATTATGTGTGTGCGAGTCCTACTGTTGATTGTAGAACCCTCGTCGACTCGGCTAGTCGAGGATGTTCATGCGTAACCTCAGAGGCACATATTTGGGTCACCACTGTATCAGAGCCCGAACTTGAAGATCATCATTCCGTTTGACCAAACATTGTCTGATTAGAGTTGTGCTCAACCACTCTGCTATTGGCGCTGGTCCATGAGGCTTACTGAAGTCTTCGCTTATCAACGAAATAGAACGCACTAGTAGTTCAGAATGGTCCAGGCCATTGTTGCTTTTGGCGAAATAATAGGAATATACATTAGTGTCGGTGCATGCCGCTTCCGTTCCCACAGACTGAATCATTCATTTTGGTCATCTCCCAAATAAGGAATGTAATTCAGGCCACCGAGCTGTCAGGTGTTAGGAATAACAGCACGTCATTTCATCCCTATGTCTGGACGGAGTAAACTCGACATCATCTATGCTTCTGGTGTGACTTAGCAGCATTTGGCGTTATGAACAGCCTCAGCCTCCGCTTTCTCTTTTGGGGAAATGATGTCCTAGTCATGCACCACGATGGAGCCCAGTCCCCATTTATAGAATAATAAAAATTTAGGTGTATAGTTGGTGGCTTCGATCTTGTGTAGGTATTTGTTTTCCTTGCATTAATTTGTCAATTGTAACAGCCACAAGTCGTGTTGACATGGCCCATTGTTCATTTAGAATTCGTACTTTTTTCACTCTTGGCCGCGTACTCCAATAAGGGTATTGTTCTTCCTCATCGTATAATATTTGGCTTCTTCTCGACTGTGGATATGGTTTTAATGAACTCCCCCTGGAATTCTAAATTGCTGCAGACGCCTCATGACTCAGCTGTCTCTTTTGGTGTCCCTATAATAGTTAATTCTCGTTGTCATCCGAGCATTTACTTTCTTTCAAACTATACCAGCAACAAGTGGCGTTTAAACAGAGACAGCCCTTGGCGATATCCCACTCATCTCGTATAATGAGTATGACCAGTCCGGAGTACAGTATGGATGCGATAGGTCAGCCCATGTCTGCGAAAGAAGAAGAGCAGCCACAGATGCTTCCATATCACGATATGACTCGGTCGAAGGCACCGGTATGAGCAAGAGTCCCCCAATGAATCGGACGCATCACAGTCTGATGTGATACCATGGATAGGAATGCTCGCAGACGATTACCACATTCAACTTACCTTACCCACACTTCGCTTTATTATACATCAACCGCAATGGAGAGCTCGGTGTGGAGGCTTCGTCTTCTATCGCGAGTTATGAGAAAGCCATCTTCACGAACGACGTTAAGGAGAGGTTTCTTAAATCGGCCACGGTCGGATGGCAGTCTGATTTACAAAGTTATCATGCCAGTAAGTGAAGAGGTAGTTGATGAGGGGATTATAAGAAGAACATAGTAATAACCAGGATGATGTTCTGCGGCAGATTCCGTGAGTCACATGGATGGCGATGTCAAACCCTTTTTGTCCAACACTCCCTTTACTTTGCAACAACAACAACACCCCCACCACCATCAGACAGGCTGGTATCAGCCTGAGATGATACCTTGCGAATGGCAGTCACTGCATAACAAGCGTCATAGGCGTAACCTCAGGCGCGTGAGCTCCGATGTCCGTCGTAATTCGGACTCAGATTCTCCAGGCGCAACGATCAGGTGGACAGCACTTCGACTTGGACAGAAGGATCTTTTACGGACTTACTATGAGAAAGCGTTTGAGAACTTTCAACAGCTTAACTGCAGAGCAATTGCAAAGGCCTTCGTCAAATTAGTCGAGCCCCGCAAACAAGTCAACCACCCATACAATGGACGAAAGACTACCGCGGGATCATCTCAGCGAGTAGACCCAGAATTGACGAAGCCAAAATGGTGGCCTACAGGTGTCACGCATAGAGAGCCCGATCATCTTCTGAAAGCTGGTAGGCCATATTCCTTCCAGACGCTCTCATCGGAAGCGCCATACTGATTCTTAATTCGTTGATGCAGAGCGAATTCGGCTTCTTGTACATATTTTATGCGAATTGAGAGACAGCCATGGGATAACAGCAGACAGACTCAAAGATGCCGGACAAGATGTACGGCGACAGATCATGCCGGCAGAGCGTTTACGTGTATTGGATGAGATTTACTATGTTCGAGAGATGGAAGAGCTCTACCTAGACGGCAAAATCAGTATGGCTCCCTTATCCTGCCTCGCTACTAGGAGGTTCGGCACGACTAACCACTGAAGCAGGCGGTGACACTATAATCCACGTCTCCCATGTCCATCTGACTGAGGCCGGGACTGACGCCGAGTTACATGAGCATTCCCCCAATAGCCGCTCCAATCCCCTGGTTAATTCCAGTGTCAAGTCTAAGCGAGATGCTTCCAACATGTCCGATTGTCATAAGCCAAGCTATGAGAGCGATGTACATTCCTCCACCGAGCACAACCAACCAGCAAGGCAGCCACTGAGTCACATCGCTTGCGCTCCTCTATCTCCGCTTTCAACTCCCTCCATCAGTCGAAAGAGCTCCTTAGAGAGTAGCCTAACGACATATTCTTCCGACCTGCCTTCGTCTATGCTGTCGTCCAATGAGGCCAATCGGGCATATCCATCGAAAGACGTCAATGCCACCGGGTCGTGTATTCCAGGCTATTTTACGCAACATATCTCTACACAACCTACTGGGCAAATTACTCAGACCGGATTTTGGAACAGTATTCCTCAGGGGCATCAGTCGCTTGCATTTCAAGGATACTAATGAAATTAATGGAGCTCTTTGTTGGTTTCGAGTAGTGGAAACATTTGACGGATCCTACCCCATAGCGCGAACTTATTCCATCGCGCTCTTTCTTTCTTCTTTCCCCCCCTTTATCAGATATATACCAATGTACACTTAAGGCACATAAATACCTAGGATTAACTATAGGTACGGCACCAGTCAAACAGAGCAAATAAAATTCAAGAATACCAAGCATCTCCCAATTTCATCTCATCGTTCCAAGCTTTTAACTGCCAGCTACCTAACTTGCTGGCCTAGCCAACTGAAAGTTCCGGTTACTCACTTTATGTACACTGTATTAAAGAAACTAAGGAGCTTCAATCCGACAAGAAATCCAGCAATTTAGCTCCTTCAAACATAAAAAGTATTGAGATCTCAATCTGCCATACTGGAGCTCTGCATCGCAAAATACTAAATAACACAACCCTAATGACAGACAAAAAATACATAAATAAGTAGAGCTCTCCTAGCAAAAACAAGCTATTCTACTCATGCCATAAGCCCTATCTCCTAAATGCCGCTACACACACTCGCAAGCGATAGATAGCACCTCATTCTGAGTGTTGGGACCATGTTTGCAATGTGAGAAACGACTGGCTTACGGTCTTCCAGTTGTCCAAGGTCTTCCTCCCTCGTCCACAGGGCATTTGTACAGCCAAATTCAATTATTGAATTCCGCAAAGCCTTGCCATGAGGGTGGTAGAACATATGGAGATGTCGATATCCTTTTAACCCCCTCAGTGCATGCCTGACCGGGAGTAAGGTCATTCCCGATTGGATGTCCCCATGTCCGTCCTGCTCGGCCTGTCCGACGACAGCGACTCGATAGCGCATGAGGAAAAGGAGGGCAATATACATCAATATCCTGTCATCAGTCGTAATTCCATGCAAGTCTCTCTCCCCCTTCTGTGGGATCACAATGTGTACTGTGGTGAGATATAGTAGCTGTCGACGAATGGCAGTCAGGTTGAGAACATGAGAGGAATCGTACTGAAATTTCATCGGGCGGTAGGCGAAGTGTTTTATATTCCGCCTAAGGCCGAGTGGTAGTTCCATAGGCCAAGGCGATGTGTACATAAAGACGAAGTGGGAGAATAGAGCCCGCTCAGCTACCCAGGCGCACGTTCTGTCTGTGAGCATGAGACTGTGATAAGTTGGGTCCAAGTCCCTCCAGACGACCTTTGTCACCCGGTCATATTTTAAGTAGATAATTGGATGGTCGAGCCATTCGGCATGAGGTGGTGTCATAGCGAGTATAAAAATGTCATAGCGAACCTTCAGCGGGAAGCTGTGGATGGTTCTCCTGAGTGGCATCTGGACGCTTGCTGAGCAAAACGATGTGTATGGAGCGATCGAATTTGTTCCTAAGTATAATGGATCTAATGGTAGAGGATACGGTAGTATTTAGGAGGCGGTGGTGGATGATAGAAGATTTATGTTCGTGGTCTGATCGAACATTTCCCCGGAATATATAGTATCTGTGCCTCAATATGGAAGGGGCATCTGTACAACATGAGTTCCATGCTCTTTCTGAAAGAGGCGATGCTTTCATTGATCGTAATCTTAAGATGTTTCCCCAAGTGTGTGAGCACCTCTCTGTATTAATTCATCCACATCGTAGGTACATGCAACATACGGATATATCGCCTAGTTTAGCTGAGCTTGGCAGCTTTCTCCATATCCTCTCGTGTAAGAATATCCCCAGACTTTCGGAGAGGACTTAGCCGTCCCATTTTCCGCAACTGGGCGATAAGACGCTCATCGCCAAAGTGGCTATTATGTTCGAACTCCGGCTCTTCTGCGTATGCGACCCGCGCAACATCCACCAGCATTCGAGCCGTCATTCCAAAAACCCGATAACGTGTCAGCACACCAGGCTTTCCTTTCTCTTCCAGAGCATTAGCAGCATCTTTCTGTCGTCGGTTGGCAGTGCGAGGCTTGACCACCGACTGAGGCCGAACAGGGACGAAGAATTGGTGCACTGTCTAGTCAGCAATGGCAAACAGACAGGAATAGGGGAAGATATCTTCCAGAAGGTGTACTCACTGCGCCAATTGGACTGGTGCCACTCCGTCCAAGCACCTTGATACCAATCGGATGGACTTCCACCCCAGTTACCCTCATCGCCCATGCGTAAGAAATTGTGAAATGGCGCCGTGAATACCGCCGCAACTTCCCTGGCGTCCAATTTCGGGATCAATGTCACTTCAGGGTCGGCATTCTGGCCGGTCTTCTCATCATATGAGTGAAGTAGTGCTACACATGGGCGGACCACAAGCTCCGTTCTCGCAAGATTAGCCGGCAATTCGCAGAGATGCTCCACGACAAAGGGCTGAGGGAGCGATTGGTCATTGTCTGGCAGACCGATCTCTTCGTGCGCCTCGCGTCGCGCTGTTTGAAATGGGGTTTCTTTTAGTGAGTCGGCCCTGCCTAATGCGATTGGTGTTGAGTTAGTGATACATGTCTGTCGGTCATTGTGCTCAGGCTTGCTTACCACCAGGTAGCGCGGCTTGGCCAGCGTCTATGTATAAAATTTAAGTCAGTCATTTGTGTTTCGATCTATTCCATCGTATGCCATCTGGATTTAAGCCAAGTCTGTGGATGACTTACACGAACTCAGAGTCTTTGCCCGCATAGTAAGAACTACCCGGAGATCTCCCTTAGGATCCGCATAGAGCAGCAGCAAAACCGCCGCTCGTCGTGACAATGGGACCATCTCATAATTGGTCGGTGGTGGCTTATACGATCTTAATCGATCTATCGCGTCCTGTTGGCATAAAAGTTAATGGGGCCGACTGTTGTTAGCCCAAATACGTCATGTCATGCTTTTCGGTAGATTATGCGGGGAACAAAACAGGGGTGCAGAATATGTAAATAGATGAAAATCACTCATGAAACGACAGGAATTTCCACAATACTACAAAAAGACAGGCATTATGAGATTCATTCACGGAAAACGTTTTCTTCCTGCATTAACTGGAAAGATGGGTTCTCCAGATGGTCTGCCATACCTGTGAGACGGCATTCAGACGTGGCATTTTCTGTAAGTGGCTCGGGTGTTGAGTGCTAAAAGTGCGAGGACCCAGGATGATTCTAGTGATCGCTTGACTTCGCATGGCAGAAGCGATAGATCCCAGTACTAGTTCTATATGGAACTAGCTTACGCTGAGGGTCGGTATTATGCTAGTGAAGATGATCCGTCAACATACTACAATTGCCGAGGTTATAGTGGAGAATCGATGGTCAGCAGCCGATGGATTTCAATGGCTATGGAGCCTCGTATACTATCCCATCACAACACTCTGGCGTATTCTGCATATTGTTTTACGATGCAGGAAAGCACTACATGATATCTTGAAGCCTGTGAATATATTTTATGCCAGCCTTGTTGAAGACTGTACCTTTTTTTTTTTCGAAGCACAGGAAAAGTCCAGGAGCGAGGAACAAACACATCAAAGCAGGTATATTCCACATAATTTCCAAGTGTCTATTGAGCCAGACATCACCAAGTAATAGTAATAATAAAAGGTACATGTAATATGACAAAGGGCAAACATATAATAACTAACCGCAGAGGCCAGTGGACCATGATCAAGCAGATTAAACAAGAAAGTAGTCTATCGTATCAAGAGTAACACAAACAAGAAGAAGAGTGGGAAGGAGGGCAGATGGAGGAAAGTCTATGTCATGCTGTGTAAATTCAGTGAGTCCTTAAGCAGAGGTTGTCTCCTTTTTTTCTTCCTTGGCCTGGGCCGATGGGTCTTTCAACTGTGCTTCCTCTACCTTTTCGCCCTCGACCACTGCCTCGGCTGCCTCGCCGGATTGGCCCTGATACTTGGCCTCGATGGTGACATCTTCCTTATCGTCGATATCCTCATGATCCTTAGGCGCGGCGACGCCCTTCTCCTCGTTCTCGCTATTCTGCTCGTTCTCCTCCTCAATGAGCTCTTGCTGCTCCTTAATGACCTCAAGACGCTGCTTGTTTGTGGCAGCACCCTCGGCATTGTGCACCTCGAGTTCAATTTCATGGAACAGCTCCTCGGGAATGCTGGACAGCACCGACTGAAGAGCTTCAATCTGGGATGACATCTCTGTCTCTTTACCACCCTGCGCGTAAACATATGCATTGCTCAGAACAAGAAGCGTAGATGGGACGCCTTGCTTGAGACGAAGATCGAGCCATGTCGAGATATCATCGCGCAGACGAGCAGGAGAAACGCCATGAGTGCGAATACCACGAGAGGCGCATGCCATCTGCAATTCTGGCACAGAAAGAGATTCAACCCCCTCGTAGAAAATAGCGCGATCATCGCGCTTGATCTGCCTCATGCGGTGTCGGATGTTGTAACGGAGCATGGCATCAGTACCGAACGAATTCAGATTCATGTACTTGCAGATACCGACCAATTGAGGCCGAGACAAGTTGTCCAGAGTCAGGTCATCTTTGAAAACCTTGCAAACTTTGATAACATCCTCAGTCGAAGGTGCTTCTCCGGTTGTCCTGATTTTCTTAAAGAACTCTGCGAACTCCTCATTTTTGACAGTAGCAGCGGTCACAGGAAGACCACTCTCCCTCAGCGTATCTTTCAAGAAAGCAGAAACTTCTTTCCGTGTAGAGCTCAGGTTCAATGCCTTCTTCTCGCGAGCTTTCTGTCCCTCGTATGTGCTCGGAAGCATATTAGGGAACAGCTTGAGAGCCACAGGGAGTAGCAACTCCGCAAAAGGAATAATGACAAACATAGAGAAGGGAACCAGGCGACCGAGATCCTTAACCGTTCGTTGGAGCTAAATGCATTGAGCAATTAGCATTGCCCAGCATGTAAGTAGAAGCAAGGGGATGGGGAGCGAACCTGTCGGTGTTCTCTTCTGCTCAGCTCATAACCCGCTGCCATCTTCAATGCTAGTCTGGAACTGATTTTGACTTCCGTGGCCAAAAGCTTGGTGCCATCCCAATAGTGCTGGGCTTCCTTCTTGATCTTTTGCCCAATCGTCAATTTCTTTTGCTCCTTCTTCTCCTCCGTAGCCTCCTTTACTGCTCCTGCGTCACTTGACTTATCCTTGCTCTGAGCATTGTTTTTCGGGGTTACTGGTAACTCTGATTTAGGAACAACTTGTTGATCATTTTTAGCAGACTCTGGGATGATGGGCTTTTTCGCTTGCTCGGCGTTGAAGCCGGGCGGAGGAAAGCTCGATGAGGACGAGGTAGAAGTCGATTGCTCTGTAGCGTACCCACGGTGAGGGACCAGAATTGCTAAGGCTTGTATGTGAGACGGAAGACCTCGACCATTGATCCGGAGACTGGCGGCTGAAGTTGCGCCCAATGCACTAGTGAAGCGTGGCCGGGCTGATAAGAATAAATGTTAGCCATCATAAAAGGTGGCCTTCCCAGCAATACCAGGACATAGAAGCAACACGGGCAGTAGCGACACAAGCGTACCGATCAAACTGGGGCGCAATGCAGCACTGTTGCGCACAAGTCTAGCCGATCTAATGCTGACAGACATAACGGAAGGCGTTGGAAAGGAGATGCTCCAAAGAGCAAGTAAGTATAAAGGGCAGGGACAACAATTTCGACCAAGATGATACAGCAAGTTATATGATCTCACACAAGGCAGATAACACAAATGGAATTGGCATGAATTTCAAAGGAGTGATGATGTGTCTTCGTTCTCCCCAAGTTCTGGAGTCCAGAAGCGGTCGTTCACGTGACAGCGATACTCGGAGTTTACATTTTGTCGCCGCCGGAGTTTATCTCATCAGTCGGGGGTCGCAATAAGCTTTGCCGATTTCCTCGGCGGCAACAAACTACCGGGTCCGACTAAATGCCTCACCAAAAAATAGAGGAACTTGAAGATAGACAGAAAACAATATTATTCGGCACTCTATGGCAGTACATAACAAAAAAGACAAACACTTACGGTTTCAGCTACTAAACAAGAGCGGATATATATATGAATAGCGTGTATGTCGTGAAACATCATGACAGAGAACGACTGACCAGGAAGTTGGGTATCATTAAGTCAAAATTGCATGAGTAGGCAGGATTCGCAATCCAGTCAAGAAGAGGGGACACGCTAACGACAACATCTAAATGAGTATTTGAAGCTTCGAGTCCACCTATTTCCTCCCTCGCACTGACGGGGAACCGGAAGCAGCCTCTTCTATGCCGCTCGCCGTCACGCTAGAGTCAAGCAGAGGAATTTTATCAATGCTTGCCTTGTCGGATCCTCCATTCTTTGCGGTGCCTTTAGAATCATCCAAGATGTGCGTCCCAGTGGCAACAGCGCTGTCTGATGTCAAAATAGTCGGGCTAGCTGTGCCTTCAGGAGAAGACTGCCACCGTGCGACATCCTTTTTCAACGCTTCTAGTTCTTTCTGGAATCGCTTGCCAAAAACATCAATGTAATATGTTGCGCCGTTGTGGATGCTCAAAATGAAAAGCGCAGTCAGGAATAGCCCACTAGCCCAGCGGGACCATAGCCAGAGCGGACATGGAATCATCGTCAAAATCGCATAGAAGTATTGGATCAGCATAAAGGCAGGAGCCTGTAACGATTCGGGTAGGCTTAAAACTATTTTCCCAATCCAAGCCTTCGCATACGATTTGCGGAGCCATGTAAAGCTAGTCGGGCGTCCTGCGGCAATCTGCTCGGCACGCCGCACGGTGATGAAGCAATGATAGGATAACTGCCATATCGTGTAGGGTACCGTCGCCCAGACCATCATAGACAGGAGCGAAAAGTGGTCCGGTGACCCAGGCTCACTGAACTTGATGTCATAGATCGCAGGGAACCTCTCCTTCAAGGTCTCCGCAGAAGTCAAGTGAACAATACAATGCCAGGCTGCTGGTGGCATAATATGAATGAACAGACTGTGATACCGGCCAGTTAGTAAAAATTGTTCGGAAGATGTAACGAGCATGATTCATACCTCACAACCTTGTCCATACTATGAAATACAAGGGAGTTTCGCCACATAGCGATCGCGACAGCGTTGTTTCCGAAAGTCAAACAGTACGCGCTAATGAAAAGTCTCTTGGAATTCGGGAAGGCCCAAATACTCAACATGCATAACAGGTTGACGAAATAACACAGGTCAGCCAAAAAGTAATGATAGCCTTTCGCGTGATATCTATAGTATCGAATCGGCATGAAGTAGGCCAGCTGTATGGTGAACCAGATATAGAAAGACTCCGGATGGGCGCCAATGAGATAGCCACTGAAGAAAATGTTGAGGACACCGGCAATAAACGAGATCTTCTCACGTAGTGTAACGGTCGCGGTTGCGTTCCACTGCTTTCCCAGGCGCTCAACACCGACCTTCATACGGCGGCGATACTTGTCAAGCTGCTCGTCCGCAGTAGGGACTCGCCTTTTCCATTCTCCCACCACGCGATCCTTTGCGGTTGCGGAGGTGTACTTCAACTTCTCCCGTTGTTTTTTCATCTTTTCTTTCTGCATATTAATGGTATGCTGTAACTTTTCGAGCTTTTGGGACAGTGAAAAGTTGTCGAGCAAGTCGAAGACAGTTAACTTATCCAATGGGGGGAAAGTCTCCCAATCATCCTGATAAGAGAAGGAAGGCCTTCTTGGTGTGCCAGATGGCGAATAAAAGCTATCAGAGGATCCTACAACATCGTCCAAGTCCGACAGCATGTCATCACTTGGGATCGCCTGGAGATCAGGCGAGTCACCAGTCGAGTAGGAGGCGCCGTCCTCCATGATGAGTTTCTGTTGGAAAGAGAATATCGTCGGGCCGTCACGGTAGTGAGGATAGGGTCTAGTAAGAAAGCGAGCGAACGTTAGCATCCCCATGATTGTCCACGAGGTATGATCAGCCAGATCTGATAATCCCAATCAAATATCACAAGCAGATGATCTGATATCTTCAGGGAAGGGACATCGAAATTAAGGACCAGTGGGTACCATATCAATCTATGAAGGACCGATATAAATAACCAAGTACTTACTCGGACGAGCGCAGTAGACAGGTTGGTTCCAAACTTTCAATACACACTCAAATGTTCCAAATCCTCCAGTCTCCTTCAGCGATCCAAGCGCATGACCACCGTTAGAGCTAGACGAGTGACCGAAAACCACAAAGTGTGGGGAGCGAAACGAGGAAAGGGAAGATGTTGAGGACAAGTTGGAAGTTGAGGTTCTCCGTGTGCACGCGTCGTACGCTATGGTTGGCCAGTGCTGAGTGGCCGCGTTTCTTTGGTTCTTCTGGACCCTCAGCGGCGGGATCTGCACCGTAGATGGGGCTTTACCCCTAAGGAACCAATGACACTTGAGAATTCAGGTGCATGATCCCACAGGGTTTCCAATCAATCTCTAGACCGTTCCTGGGTCTAGATGATGAATGCGTTGTCCCCCAACATTTCCATGGGTCCAACTGGAGGATTTCCAAGGAGGAACAAGACACCATCCGTAGGTCAGGAATTGCTAGAAGGGAAAAATAAAGAAGTAGCTAACATCCAACATACCCAAGGCCCGAACTATATCATGCTCCTAGGAAGAGCTTGAAATCCATATCGTTTCCAACGTGACAGAGACAAGAATCAGACAATGTCCTTTTCGTGTGCTCACTGATGATTTTTGTCTCAAGCTTCACTAATCCTCCTAGGACAGTATGAGGGGACAATATTGCCAAACCCTTCAAGTAAAAATTATGGTATATAGTATTTTACCCCACGGGCCTCCCTGAGTATGGATATTACATTTTTCGTTGAAAGCACTGTGAGGTGATCATTCAACAACATCATGCAAACTGTGAAGGTCAGTAGAAATATGTCATGGCTGAATAGGCTATCTACTCTCACAAGTTCAAGTAATAGATCATTTGGTATTGTGATATTGGAGACCTGGCTTCATAGCTTTTCTGGAACCCGTCACCTGTACAAGGTATTACTTCTTGATATACTTAGAGTGATAATGATTCAGTCTATAGAAGGAGTCCATCTGGACTGGGGGATAATATAATATCTTTTATGATGGAAGCTTAAGTGACCGGTATGCTTGTATATCTAACATATACCAGGAGCGTAAAACTTGGCGAATGAGGCCTGTCCGAGTCGTTATTTGGATCAAGTTCATTGCTTTGTCGGAATAATAAACGCCTAAGAAGACTCATGGTCAGTAGAGCCATCTCACTATGTTGAAAGCAGTGAAGCACAGATTGAAAAGCGAGGAGCATTATTGTGTAAGCTTGCCATATTTCGACACTAGTAACCCTTCTCACGTCATCTTGGATTGCGTGTTCTAATTTAGGTATTATCTTCCCTCCTCTCGCCGTCACAGGCCAGTGCTGACCGAACCATCTATTGTCTATACTCTCAAATAGAATCATTCGAATTGGTGGCTATTGCTAAGGGTAGAGAAGTATAGAGTTGTCACGATGTACGCTGCCGTCGCTCGGATTGTAGGGGTTGACTTTCGATGTGCTAACTCACAAGGTATTTGAAGACTCAATATACCTTTTAGGTTACCTACATTAGCTATACTGCAATTCTCTTCTCATATGGTACTCAGATATAAGACTCGGCTTGCAGGATATGGGTCAGATAACTAGCTTTTTACTGAAAGCCCTTCGAAAACCCTCATTAAGATATAAAGTGGCCGGGGATCTTATGTATCTTCTACGGGCGGCCCATCGCTCTCTCTCCAATAGCCTACAGAGAAGACCGCGCGCCTGGTCTCTAGAGAGCACATTTTCTCCAGAACATATTGGAATCAACGAGAATTGCTTTGTAGCTAACCACACATTCTGAGGACGTACTTAGTCCGATGCCGGTTACGTGAGGTAAAAGAACAAAGAAAGTAAATTAGTATTCCCTACATTAATGTCACTCGAAATGCAGTGATCCTATGTAGCGGTTAGTGTTTTGAGAGCAAAAGAATACCTCCCTAACCAATTCGTCGCTTATCCTTTATAGTCACTCTCTTTGTTAGTTCCAAGGAATTCAACAAAGACGTCTGACACTTCGGCCGCACGTGGTTGTACCATGCGATTCCGGATCATTTCTCCGTTAGCCACCCCCTGGGAGCTTGCACTTGCACTGTTTCAACTATTTGGTAGTTGATGTAAGCATCAGAGGCCAAGCTCCTTATCTCATGAGCTACTTCTTTCTATTTTTGGGTGAGACCAAGCTCAACAGTAGTGGGTGGACATGCTCCCGCCAGAGCTTAACGCATCATCCAAGGTTCGTCTAGCATTGGGCAAGATAGGATCCTTTTACAAGCTCTGGTCACTGTTATAGTTTCTTCCACAACTGTTAGTGTTCGATTTCGTGATCATAAAATCTATCGGACCGCCTAGGGGCTATGGCCTTTACAACGTGAGCGATGAAGCGACATTAGGAACAACTCACCCTTGCCTCTTATTCTTTTCTTCTAACGTCGTTCCAGCTGGTAGCATTCCTTCCCAATGGGTTACTGCAAATTACATGGTAGATTGGAGAGTTGGTCAGCCAGGAAGAGCGATATACGATCTAGAACACTAGTTCGTCGGTTGGCACGAAGGACAAGATGGTCGTGTTGCTAATTATATGTCCAGGAGGATGCATTCGGGAAGGATGCATGCGAGAACGCCATACTGTACGGAGGGAAGATTTGTTAGGCCAAACCCTATGGCCACGTTTCTGTTTACTAGCAACAAACTATCAAAGCATGAAGTATCTCCTTATTCCTTGAAAGAGCTGTCGGTGTTTGGACCCTTTCACTATTGCCGACGGATGCTATGGATTCTTGGATATATCTGGAGCTAAGTGACCCCAACAGCGCTCTTTTGATTTATAGTATTTGCTGGGAGGAAAGTTTACTAAACTAACTGGACTATTGAGACCTTTGCCATGAGTAATTGGTTGCGTCTGAACATAAGAAAGTAACTATCATGCATACACACATAGTAACCTTGTGCATTTTATCGTCAGGCTGGGGTGAGTACGTACTAGTCTCCATGGTAGAGCAATCCTGGACCGAATTGGGTATGGTAGCTTTCAAACCCCTTGATCTATGTCTTAGAACGGGGACTTTCATTATTCTTTTGTTCAGTTCTCCGATCCGATACATTCCCCAGGTGACGGGTTGGACCTCAAGACCAAAGTTTACTGTTAAGTCCGGCCTATCTCCTATTCTGCTTCGCGGGGGCATCCCTTGCCCCCTACCGGAAGCCTGGCTCACTAGGGATAGTACGAGCAAGTCAGCTGCTCTGAGGATAACTGAAACCGTGCTCAGTGACAGTGCTCCCTCGGCCGGGGTTTTGAGTTACAACGATTGATCGAGCCCTAACCCGAAATATATCCGAATCACATTTAGAATAATGCCAGTCTCTTTCAGCCGCTCCAAGCAGCCTTAACGAACGGGGTTTGCTCCTAGCACAGGGATACCCAGAAGACTGGGATTGTTCTCTGAGGGACCATAGGTAGGACGGATGTGATTACGCGAGAGACACGGAACTAATGACTGAAAGGCTGAAATCTGGACGTGAGCATGCATCATGAGGTATAGCTACTACCACCACAGCGGGCCTAGTGCAGGTCTAGCCATGTGGGTAAGTTATAGCTTGCTAAGCCTGCATGGATATACCTCAAGTTTCGTTCAAATTAAACAAATTGGGTAAGGCCAAGAAGACAAGTTACCTTTGAACAATGGAGAAAAGTGTCCGTATTCTTGGGTTGCCATGTGTGAGGCCCTCAGTACCATTCGCTTCTAGCGTGTTGTGCTGTGTTCTACATTTCCTCAAGTTCCCACTTTTCTTTTCCTGTTTTCTTTTCTTTCTTTTAATTTCTATCTATGACTATTATTTTCTCACCCTGATGTCATGCGCCTGGCTGTCACCTGAGTATGTTTCGTGAGATTCCCCGTTTGGGAACAAGCTTTCAGCTATTTATGGAGGATCTCAGGGATGACTGCGGGATGATCGAGCTTCTTGTGTTTGACACCAAGTCCGTAATCTTCCAAGTAATCTTTATCCATAATATTAAGTTGAATTCAGTTCATTGTTAAAAATGGCCGGGCTCGGAGCACTTCAGCTCCTAACAAGCGTTTCTCTTTCTCGATGTGTTACTGGAAGAGCCGAGAACAACTGATCAAGTTGGATTACACTTTATTACTACGCAAAACGTAGCGATAAATGGGAGTATCTAGTACTACGAAACACATTTGCTGCCTGTAACGGGCACTTCCATCACAGCGACCAACGCTAGCTTCTTCCTACTAAGTTCGGCTATAGTCTATTCATGCGCCATACTGCTGCATAATTGTTGGACCAACATGAGGGGCAAAGAAATTTGCCTGTTACACAAGGAAAAGAAAAAGTTGAGCTATATATATAAAAAAAAAAAAGTTACCTTACTATAATCGGAAGACTAAATTAGAGGTGACGGTTAGGGTTATCCCAATTAGCGCTGTACAATACCCGGGCCCAGCTCCAAGTCCTTGGAATCCGGATGAAAGGTCTAATGTACACAGGAAATAAAAATGGAAGAGGGGGTCTCTTTCTTGTTTTAGACCGTTCTGTCTTGTTCCTGTGCTATGACACTGTCAGTCGAAGTATAATCTCAAGATAGGATTTAAGCGGTGCTCACCGCAAGACGCTAAATGTGATAGATCCAAGGGTATGTATGTCATGAATACAGTATTCGGTGGGGAACGAGGACTCTAGGCGTATATGGACCAGCACAACCTAGATACATAGCCATTTCGAAAGCTGAGCTCGTTGAGGAGAATAGGAAAAAATAAAAGCGAGAGGACACGCGGATACGATCCCTAGCCGTCCTCGCATTCATCACGAATATCGAGCGAAAAGACTACTAGAAATGTGGCGGCGCATGGCATAGAATGTTTTCTTTGTTGTGGAGAGTGAACACATGGAGAGACTAACGCGATCGAGTGCTGGTGCAAAGTTTAGTGGCCTTCGACTTTCTTCGAGTTCATACCGGTTGCTGACGGTGCAGTGAGAACGATGATCTCCTCAGAGTGTGGGGACTGGGCACCACGGTAGGTACCGGATCCACTGCTCAGTGCGGTATTATCCTACCCAAGGACGATTTCCTTGCTGTGCTCGGGCTGCGGGCACTACTTTCCAAGTCTATTACCTTTTCGGATATATTTCACCGCGATCTTTCAACCCTTTCTAGATGCCACAGAACCTCCTATCGATTAGTCTAGTAATGAGTTTATTTCCCGTGTTCCAGAGATTATGCTTCTGGGATGAACCCTTTCCTCATCGATTTATTACGATAGTCGATTTGGCGGTTGATATCGGTGCAGGCGGTGCAAAACCCAGAGTATCCCTTGCATGGGTGTGTCACCCTTTTGTCGGTCCATGAGGTTATGGTTGCCCATGATGACCACGACCATGGCGATCTTGCAGGAGACCCACGACTAGACCACAACACTTTGGATGGGTCTTTTATTTTTTGGACCGCCATTTCCGGACATTTCTATCCAGGGATGTGGGTAATAATACTGGAACGTTATTATGATTCCCCAACTGGCTGCCTCGTTTAGCTGCATCTTCCATCCCTTTATATCACATTACCTCTAATTTCTTTGTCGGTTGTTTGCTTCTATTTCTTCTGATCTCACCCCCCAGGCCTCTCTCATTTCATTTGCAACCTATTTATTTCTCTCAGAAAAAATGGTCCCGCATGTCCTGCTGTTGGGAATTCTTCTGCAGGCTAGGATTAGGGCTCGAGCCACAAGCTGACTCTGCGGGGACCGGGGTCTTGTGACCATCATCCTGGACGCAGATAAGAAGAATAAATAATATTGAGCTTTGGAATTTGGAAGCCCCGTACGCCGCTATTGGGCATAATCTCTCCTTATTCGATATTTCAAAGTGACACAGGAGTGGTTGCTTGCTTTTCGGACTACTTGCTTATTGTCAACACCTCTTTCTCTCGCACCGCTGTTCTGCCCTGATTCCCTCCCCTCTTTCCTCGGGGAAGGGACAGATAGAACATTCTTCTCCGTCACGAAACGCCATTCAAATATAGATCTCAGCCATGCTTTCACCGACCTCTCTCGCTGTCCCAAGACAGGCTCCGCCAGTGAGGCCGTCTCGGTCACTCGAGGGACTAGAGAAAGTTGTGCCTCCACCTACACCTCAGCCTGCTGCTCGGTCAGCACTTCGGTTGGATAAGCCACTCCCCAAGCTGCCTGCGAAACCACTACCTGAGACACCCTCAATGGAGAGTTCGATGGGATGGAGTGACGACAGCAGCACAGATGTCAGCCTCGAAACTCGTCGTACATCTGATGCGTCGTCCGAGAGTTACCCAGTTTGTGTTCGTTCACCCTCGGATGATCTGGACGAATTCGTCGAACATTCTCCTATTTCTAGCATAGATCGCTCTTCCCCCGTGAAACCATATAACAAACCAGAACCGTCACCTCTGCCGCTCACCACATTGTATGATGATCGTCACCATCAGCGGTCACGTGCCGCTCCTAACCATTATTTCAGAGAGAAGAAATGGGAGTTCTTTCCAGAGCTCGCGATGCCATCAGAACTGCCACCTGGGTACCCCAAGTTTCCACCTGCACCTCGGAAGCAGAATAACAGTCGTTTGAACCTAACGGCATTCGACTTTACGAAGATAAGTCCTCGCTGTACTTCACCTGATAAGCGAGCACTTTCCCATGATGTACGCAAGTCTATCCGCTCCTACGTACAACGAAGACTATCCAAGCACTCAATTGATAAGATCAAGCCTAAGCGACGACCACGAGCATCGACGGCTCCCTCTGAGTTTCCGGAAGAATACCGATGCTCCCGGAAGACTTCTTCTAGCAACTACTCTAACTATTCCGATTGTGGAAGTACAGGGCCGCAACAGAACTTCCTCTATCTCTCTGCCGATCTCAAACGACTGTCAATGGGCAGCAGTTTAAGTGATGACGATAGCGACGGAACAGTGAACTCGATAACACCCTATCAAAAGAAACAGACAGCTGTTCGCATCTCGACTTACCAAAGGTATGGGCCAGCCACGCGGGAGAAGCCCGGACGTGAAAAGAGGATCAGTTACCGGCAAAGAGGCAATGTAAGATTTCCGAAATACCGGAAACAGGCCTCAACTTTCCAGTATGACACTTCTCTGAGGACCGGACCATCAACATGCTCTACACTACAGCAAGGCACACGGTTCTGCGTTAGAGTGCTGCAGGATGGAACGAGTCATGTCCTTATAGCGCTGGATGAAGCGAGGCAGAAGATAATTCAGGCTCAAGTCGATCGAAGACGGAGACAATTGAAATCCAAGATCAGATTAATTGGTCCGGTCAATCCATATACTACCTACGGGCGGGTTGACCCTTGGATATGACTATGCATAACTAGTGGTCTTAGCAGATCAGTCGTCTTACTGCATCTTGTATCGTCTAGACCGTCGATCCACTTTTTGGCCCGTCTCATCTTCTGGTTTTCTCTATCTACTTACCCACTCTTTCTTTCATTTCTCTTTCCATTCCCCCTTTATTCTGATATTACTTGTACACTTTTGGTTTCCTTTCTCTCAATATCCTGGAGGTAGTTACGGTAGGCGTTATGGATAAAATCCAGGGGAGGATTGATTCATTGTTCATGAGCATGATATTTGATACACCTTTACTATTGCTGTTTGAGTTATGATGTAGTTGCATGAACACCAGCGATTTGTTGTTTTATTAAATGGATGCGAGGGGGTATTTGGTGCCTCTCTTACTGCCTTGGGGTTCCGGGCAGAGCTAGGAAAGGTAATATTGTTAGTAATACTCTTCCTCTATGATAGTACCTCTTATTTTGTACTTGTGCCCCTAGTATAATGGGACCCAAAGAATTCTGTACTATATAGTATCGGTCAAATATCATGTGTTGGTGCTGGTTCTTGGCTCCAATTGGACGCATTCCATGCTCATCCGGATTGGAGGTTTCCCCGCCATGAATTGCCAGGTCACAGGATTTCTCCGCATTTACGTAGTACCTGGAATGCAGACAGCGTCACCTGCTTGTTTCGTTCCTGATTCCCACCCCGGAAACGATTAGCTCTCTGCCTTTTTTCCTCTCCACTCCTCCTCTTGCTGTCTCTTTCAATTGACCCTCTTTCTGACATCCATCCTCTATCCCTGCTCTGATGCAGACATCATTACCCTCTGATATCCTGATAAGCTTAATCAATATCCACAATTGATCGGATCCGCTATCATGGGTGGAGACGTTCCGCGACAAGCTTTCAGCTCTCTCCCCCGAGCTCCAAGCGGCCCCGTCGGTCAACGCATTCATGGTATCTATACAGATCGTTTGAGACAGTTTACGGCTAATGGCCAGTACGAGGGACAGAATCTCGTTGCGTATGTAAATAGAGTCCCTAGTCACGTCACTGGTACATGCGTCTAATACCCTACAGTAAATTTTATGAAGCTGTGAACTCTGACAAAGAGCATGTTAAGCTCTCCGTATACTCGGTCCCTAATCTGGAGCGCCCTACGTTTGAAGAGGCAACTTCACATGACTTCAAGCCTACGCATATCGGCGCTTCATTTGGTCCTAGTTGGTCAACTCACTGGTTCCGCATCCATCTGACGGTCCCGGAGGACCTATGCCAAAAAGAGCGGCTGGAGTTTCATTGGGATGCGAACAATGAGGGCTTAGTCTGGACTGAAGATGGTCATCCACTACAGGGTCTGACTGGTGGCGGGGAGCGTATCGAGTGGATCATCCCCGACGCCTGGCGCGATGGGAAGGAGCATACCTTCTATATCGAAATGGCTTGTAATGGGATGTTTGGAAATGCTCCTGGTGGGGATTCGATTCAGCCACCAGCTCCTGATAAATACTTCACCCTGCAAAAAGCACAGATCACAGCTGTCAACCTTGAGGCGCGGGCATTGTTCTATGATTTCTGGATTATCGGAGGTATGGGGTCCAAACTTGCATTTTGTTTTTATTATCTATCCGTTGTGCCTATTGACTAGCTGTGCTGACAACGTGTAGATGCTGCTCGAGAGTTTCCAGGAGATTCCTGGGAATCTCACAAAGCCAACATGGTAGCTAATGCTATTATGGACGCTTTCATTGCTGGCAATGGGAGCCAAGAATCCATCAAGGAAGGACGTAAGATTGCCAGGAAATACCTCGGTGACAAAGTTGACTCATCGGAGGTCTATGACACCGATGCACAGCCAATAGTCTACGGAATTGGACATTGTCATATCGATACGTGCTGGCTGTGGCCCTGGGCAGAGACTAAGCGTAAAGTGGCTCGGTCATGGTCGAACCAGTGTGATTTGATGGAGAGATATCCAGAACACCGCTTTACCTGCTCGCAGGCGCAGCAATTCAAATGGTTGAAACAATACTACCCCTCAGTCTTCGACCGCGTGAAGGGATGGGTCAAGAAGGGCCACTTCCAACCAATCGGTGGTAGCTGGGTTGAGCATGATACCAACATGCCCAGTGGAGAATCATTAGTGAGACAGTTCCTCTATGGCCAGCGGTTCTTCGAAAGCCACTTTGGTGAGCGTTGTACAACGTTCTGGTTACCGGATACCTTTGGCTACTCGACACAGATTCCCCAGATCTGCCGTCTAGCTGGCATGAGTCGCTTCTTTACACAGAAGCTTAGCTGGAACAATATAAATAACTTCCCACACACTACCTTCCAGTGGGTCGCGCTCGATGGTAGCCAGGTTATGTGCCATATGGCGCCATCAGAGACATACACTGCCTCGGCTCACTTCGGTGATGTGAAACGCAGCGTCACGCAGCACAAGTCCATGGACAACGATAACACATCACTTCTTGTGTTCGGAAAGGGTGACGGCGGTGGTGGGCCGACCTTCGAGCATTTGGAGAAGCTGCGCCGCTGTCGTGGCCTTAGTGATAAGACAGGTCTGCTTCCACGTGTAAAGATGGGTGAGTCAGTGGACGATTTCTTCGCAAGACTGGAGAAGAAGGTTGAGGAGGGCACACAATTCGCTACATGGTACGGTGAGCTTTATTTCGAGCTACACCGGGGTACATATACTACTCAAGCAAACAACAAGCGAAATAATCGCAAGTCTGAATTCTTGCTTCGGGAGATCGAGTATCTGGCCACACTTGCGTCAGTCACTCAATTTAGTGGCAATTATCGATATCCCAAGAAGGAGATAGACGATATGTGGGAGGCCGTGCTCCTATGCCAGTTTCATGACTGTCTGCCAGGCAGTTCCATCGAGATGTGTTACGATGACTCTGACAAACTCTACGCCGAGATATTCGAAACTGGTCAGAAGGTTAGGAGACAAGCCCTTGAGGCTCTTGGATTCGGAGATAAGAAACATTCCAAGAGCCTTGTGGCGATTAACACTCTGCCTTGGCACCGTTCGGAAGTTGTTAAGCTCCCTCCTAGGTTCGAAGAAGCAAGCCGACGGAAGTATGCCGTGGTTAGCGGGAAGACGGGTCTCATGGAGTATCGAGTCAACCCAGCCACTTCTTCGCGAGTGACTGTGTCGGAGATCCAGACGGGGGTGTTCCGCCTTGAGAATACGAAGTTGAGGGTGGACATCCACAATGGAGTTATCTTATCCCTATTCGATGTTGAGGCGGATCGTGAAGTGATCGCGAAGGGCGGCAAGGCTGGGCAGCTGGTCATCTTTGATGATAAGCCGCTTTATTGGCAAGCCTGGGATGTTGAAGTCTTCCATCTAGAGTCAAGGAAGGAGTTGCACTCTAGTAGAACTACCATCGCCGAGAATGACCCATATCGCGCCAGTGTGGTCACTGAAACCAAGATCAGCGAGAACAGCTGGGTTAAGACAACAATCAGTCTTTCTGCTGTTGCCGGGGATGAACCATCATACGTAGAGTTTGAGAGTGAAGTCGAGTGGCAAGAAACCATGAAATTCCTCAAGGTAGAGTTCCCTGTGGACATTACAAATACAGAAGCATCCTACGAGACCCAGTATGGAATCATCAAACGTCCAACACACTACAACACGAGGTAAGCCAATCGTCGTCTATTATGAAAGTTTAAACTGACTGATTCTTCTAGCTGGGACATGGCTAAATTTGAAGTGTGCTGCCATAAATGGGCCGATCTGTCGGAGAGTGGGTATGGCGTGTCGGTCTTGAATGACTCCAAATATGGTTTTGCAACCTGTGGCAACCTAATGCGTCTATCTTTGCTCCGGGCACCCAAAGCACCGGATGCGCACGCAGACATGGGCCGTCATCACATACGATATGCCATCCTGCCTCATGCTGGGCCTCTTGATTCACGCATCATCCGAGCAGGGTATAATTTCAACCACCCACTTGCTCTTGAGTCAGCGTTTGGCTCTGGGGATAAGGGTGTCTTTAACTCTATCTCCATCAGCGGCTCCCCATCGCTCATCTTGGACGTGGTTAAGCGCGGAGAAGATGACGAAGACGTCTCCCGAGACAATCTACCCCGTCGCGCAGGAAAGAGCATTGTCCTGCGTATTTATGAGTCACTTGGCGGTAAGAGCCGCGGCACTATTCATACTAGTTTGCCTGTCAAAAAGATCTGGAAGTGCAACGTGCTTGAGGATGATGAGACAGTTCTTGCAATTACCAAGGGTAAGGGGATCACGGATGCTGACATTGAGTTAAGGGCATATGAAGTTGCTACCTACCGTTTGCAACTGTAGCCAAGTGTTTTTCGGTGATACATGCATCATCTTCTTTGGAGATAGTTTGGATAAACTATGCGCTTAGTAATACAAAGGATATCTTGATAATATATGAAAAGTAAAAATGTATGCAGATGCTCGTTAAGTGAATCATAAAGCCAAAGCCACAGCGCCTTAGAGCTCCATCACCAATCCGATCCGTAATCCCATATGTAAAGCAGGATAAACCCAAGAAATCAACTAAAAACTCCCGTCAAAATCGCCTGATCAATCCCTTCCGTAGCTAATTTTCAACCTCTTCGTGGGTGGCTTATCCCCTGCCTCATCATCGTCTTCATTCTTATCCTTATTGGCATTTGACTTTTTCTTATTTTTCGACGAAGATGATCCTCCTTTCACACTCCCAGGCGCAGAAGAATCACCATTCGGTTTACCGGACGATCCATTGACAGACGTCGGTGTCGGGGCATGCGACGGAGTAGTCTGAACAGATGATGGTGTCGAATCCTTCACGAATGTTAGCCATTGATCCCCGTGCCCTTACCCAAAACTGCAACTTAAAAGAGAGAACATACCCGCATAAAACTCGCCGAGCTTCTCGAGAAAACACGATCGGCATCCGTCACCTGCGCCTTTCTTCTGGCACCACCTGCACCTCCCGAAAGCGCTAATGACCCACCAGCACCAGCACCGCTAGACGAGCCCTTGATATAGTTATCGAATCCCTTAATGATATTTCCGGCGGTTGTTTCTTCAAGGTAGGATTGTTCGAAGCGGAAGATTTGATCTTCGAGTTGGGCCTGCGCGACCGCCTGTATTAGCACTGCAATAGGCAAAGAAATGGCCTTCTGAACTATGTGAAGTATAACAACAAGCAGCATGGGATGGACACAACAGGTAACATACCATGCTCTTATCCATTAATCGCTTCTTTTGTAACGTGTCGCGTAGCTCGCGCCGCAGTTTCTCGTAGTATGGTAGGCCGCGATTTGCCCCGGTTTGGGCTGATGCTGTTCCATTGCTGCTATTATTATTATTGGAGGCTGTGGATTGGTTTGTAGTAATCGGACCTGCCGGCGTTGCGGCCGTGTTGGGGACGGAGGGTGGAGGGGCGGATTCCGTCATGTTCGTTACCTCGCTTTGGGCACGATGTTCAAAATTCAAAATACTGAACGGTCAGGTAAAATTGCTCGTGGCTGGACTCGAGTTGTATTTTCACGGTTCTTCTTGGCAATTGATTCCGATTGATTGATCGATCTAGAACGGGGAGAGAAAGAGGTAAGGTCTGGATTTGGCCGCACATCTTATCCATGGTGTTTGGCTGGTTTGCAGTATTGAGTTGCCGGGCGGTCAATCAGTCGAACATGTGCGGCGGCCTAGTATCTAGGGAGGAGGTGATGGCGTCAGCAACCCTCTGCTACTTTTTGTCGCTAGATACTTGGTAGCTATCTTTGTGCTATAATTTCTCAGATAGTCTCCTATTGTATACATAAGAAGATTTATTTCTTGATTAGTACTTAAGCTATCAAGCTAACATCACAAGATGGACCACTCAATGCACCACTCAGGAATGGATATGGACCATGGCCATGGTGGGCATGGGGATATGGATATGGGAGGACAGTGTAATATGAATGTGAGCTTATATTATTCATCATATTGGGATGCACTTGGAATCACTTATGGTGGGTCTAACTGACAACAACGCTAGATGCTCTTTACATGGTCCTCTAAAGACCTTTGCATTATATTCCGCCAGTGGCGTGTCGACGGTCCCTTCTCTCTCCTTGTCTCCTTAGTCGTTATCGTACTTTTGACAGCGGGTTACGAGGGTATTCGACAATTGACTAGGCGGTATGAGGCAGCGCATGCACAACGGTTGAATGCGTTCAATACGCCTGCTGTGGGAGGTAAGCCTTACAGTTTATCTATTGCTTTTACATCGCGATATACAACTATTTCGAGGGGGAAACTCTTCAGGGGGCTTGGTTGAGTCACATTCCATTGACACCTTGAAGGCAATGAGAACGTCGGCGTATCTGCCCCGGCCATCGCCCCTTCAAGCCATGCTCCTCATTCCTGCGACGAAAGCTCACCGCTACTTACAGGTAGGGACAACAGGAAGGTTGTGGAACAGCGGGGAAAGCTCATCATGGCCGCATTATATGCCGTGCAGGTCTTTTATAGTTTCTTTATCATGTGAGCTCGAATCCCTTCTGGTGACCTATCCTCGATCTAAATACTAATCGGCCAGGTTGCTGTTCATGACGTACAATGGGTTGGTCATGATTGCAGTTGCCGTTGGAGCATTCGTAGGGTATCTTGTGTTTGGAGACAATATGTCAGCTGCAAAGACTGTTGCTTGCCATTGATCATTCCCTTTCAGATAACTATTGCGTTTGAATATTAGTGGAAAGTTTTAGGCTTGGCAAAGCTTAACGGTGAGCCGCTCGATAGCATGTACTGCATATCACATAATGGTATTTTTGCATTTCTGACCCGGAGTTGGTCTTGTTCATCAATCATAATGCAAATCTGTGGATCAGGGAACCTCCACGTCGCTCCCGTCATCCCCAAATCCAAAACTGAATCCACCTGCTTCAGATGAGTCTCCAGCACCGTCTTGTTCTGATTTTCCATGGACAATTTCATCCCATTTCCGCTTTTTGCCCTCGGTTTTCTTTTTTAGCTCATCAAGTGATTGTTCAAGCAAGTCTGGGTGGGCCTGGCGCATCTTATTCACAAATTGTTCGTAAGGGTTGTCAACGTCTTTTCTGAAACCCGAGATCTGATCAGCCTTGTTACTCAGGAAGTCCAAAGCTGCGCTCAGGTGTGCACGCGGGATAAAGTTCTGTGTGATTGCGATGGCCGGCTCAATATTTACCACCAAATGCCACCAACCGGAGGGCACATGCAGAATCTCTCCCTCCTGGCAGATACCTTCAATGCAGCCCGGCGTGCGCCGGGCTTCGGCATGGAATCCTAAAAGCCACTCTGCGATGCTCAGAGGGGACGTCACTTCACTCTGGTCCTCAGAGACATACACTCCTGGGGGTGGGGGGAGTTTAGACGACGAGGGAAACATGATCCAGTACTTGGAGCCGCGGACTACTGCGTTCCAGGCGCTAGTGGCATTAGGATCCTTATGGAAAGTACTTCCTGACCGCTCGGGACCAATGATCAACCACTGCCTATCAGGGCGGTCATTGCCCAAGACGGAGAAGAAGTCTTCTCCGAAACAGGGTGGTGGCCAATATGTGGCGTCGGGTTCCTCATCGGGCTGACCAACCTTGAGGTCCATTTTAGACACAAATGCCCGGTCGAATAAGTAGAGAGGGCTCTCATCCGAGTTGTTCTTCAGGTACTCGACATACGTCCTCAACGGCCAGTCCACAGCCTCCGCACGGAAAACTGTGTCCGCATATTTCGACAACAACGATTCAACGGTCCAGTTTTGATAGGCGGGCCACTCCTTGACAGGTTCAGTCAGGATAAATGGAGTGTCGGACCATTTCTCATGGAATTCTTCCGGGGAAAGGTTCGGGAGACGAGCGATTTGGTTTCTGGACGGGATATTGGTGACGTATGGGTCCAAAATGATATGTGCGCAGTAGAAGGGACGGTGCAGGGCATCCGAATACAAAGTCGAGCAGTCTAGGATGGCCGCTTTAGAAGGGGGGATGTTGAGAAAGGTAGACCGCCATGTTCCTTGCCAGGTAAACGAGGCTGGAGGGGATCTGAAACAAACTTAGTACACGACCAGCTACTAAAGTTCTAGTATTATACGACAAGCATAACACAAACGCTGCAATAGCACGGGCAATGTCACGGGTCCTATACGATCACACGTATTCCAGAATCCATTACCAGTTATCCCGCCCCAGAACTAATATACATCGGAAACAATCCCAAAATAAAACAAGGAAAAAGAGGAACCAAAGAGGAGGTTCTAATCTATAGTAATCTTACCCAATGAAAAGAGATTTCCAAAAGTCCTCGGCTCTAGTAAACGCATAGAAGGCTTTACATGTCTGCCCAATACGCAGCAAACTGCGTCCATCAATAAACTCTAGTAAAATTAAGATCAGTTCATCGGGTAACAAATTGAAGGTTCCAATCGTAGCACGAAGATTCTCATGGGCAAGCAAAGCATTGCCACTGGGCTTCACCCCCAAAGGATGACCGGGAATGGCATCATGCCCGACCAAATCGTGGTTGTCCAGTGAAGCGATGTCCGGCATTTTGGAAACAAGCGTTAGGCCTTCCTTTTCGGGTGGGGTTTGATACTGCCCGCCAACGAAACACAATGGGTCCTAAAGGATATCAAGGAAAGCGAACGAGCCAAAGGACAGTAGGCCAGTCTAAAGAAAAACCCCTGGGGAGACAAACTATAAACCGGCCAAACCGAATGACGCTGATGGCAAATTCTCTACTTCCGATAGTAACCATCAACCACCATAGAAAGAAAATTATAAAAATTATGACAGGCTCGAATCAAAATGCGAAGGCAAAAAAAAAAAAAGAGTGTGGGTAGGCTGGCTTTTTGCGGAAGGCGGTATGGATCCGTTGGGCAGAACTGATTGGCGCTTCCCGGATAAAAAAAATTAAAAATTTTGCGGCTTGAAGGAAGGAAGCAGGAGAATAAAAAAAAAAAAAAAAAAAAAAAAAAAAAAAAAAAAAAAAAGGGAAACAAAAGAAAAAAAGTTCGCTATTCTCTTTGTTCTTTTTTTTTTCTTCTTCTTCTTCTTCTTCTTTTCCTATTCCACACTGTTGGTGAAATAAACTATTTATTCAACTTCCACGTCTACTAGATCTTGTTTTATTTAGGTCTAGTCTTTCTCCTTTCCGTGAAAGTTCTTCCGACTTTGATTTTCTGCGACGGCGGCCACCCCACTGGGATCGTTTGTCGCTAAGAAACCCTCACTCAGTTCACACCCAAAACCCCACTGTCTTCCGGTCACAGTTCTTCGCAAGTGAACTTTTCTCTACAACAGTCGCAATCATGTCTGCCGATAAAGGATTGGAAGAGATCCCTGAGGGTATGTTCTTATCGTTAATTCCAAATCTTTTGTCTTTCAGTCGATTTGACCAGCTTTTTTGGTTTTTTTCTGGCACTGGTCATTTTTTTTTCCCTTCGATATCGGGCAAAAAGACCAAAGCACCACACCACACAAAAAAAGCATCAAACGTCAATATCTCGAGATCCAGGCTAATCAGACATTTTAAATGAACAGGACAGATCGAGTCTAACTACGATGAGGTCGTCGACTCCTTCGACTCCATGGACCTGAAGCCTGAGCTGCTTCGCGGTATGTGTTCACTTTTTTTCGACCAGAAAAAGATGTCGATAACAGGAGGTGCTAACGGAGTTTCTTCAGGTGTCTACGCTTATGGTTTCGAGCGTCCGTCTGCCATCCAGCAGCGTGCCATCATGCCCATCATCAAGGGTAGGTTTTGCTCGATCCTTTAGGGTTGATGAGTGGTAACTGATCGTATGTAGGTAACGATGTCATCGCCCAGGCCCAGTCTGGTACTGGAAAGACTGCCACTTTCTCCATTTCCGCTCTCCAGAAGATCGACACCGAACTGAAGGCCTGCCAGGCCCTCATTGTCGCCCCTACCCGTGAGTTGGCTCAGCAGATCCAGAAGGTCGTCGTTGCCATTGGTGACTTCATGAGCATCAACTGCCACGCTTGTATTGGTGGTACTGCTGTCCGCGATGATATGAACGCTCTCCGTGAGGGCCCCCAGGTCGTCGTCGGTACCCCCGGTCGTATCCACGATATGATCCAGCGCCGTGTCCTGAAGACCGACCAAATGAAGCTCTTCATCCTGGATGAGGCTGATGAGATGTTGTCTGTAAGTTTCACTACATGTTCTCGAACTCACGTGGAACACCGGTATTGATCAAATAAACAGCGTGGTTTCACCGAGCAGATCTACGACATCTTCCAGCTCCTCCCCCAGTCTACCCAGGTCACCCTGCTCTCGGCCACCATGCCCCAGGATGTCCTTGAGGTCACTACCAAGTTCATGCGCGACCCTATCCGTATCCTGGTCAAGAAGCAGGAACTTACCCTTGAAGGTATCAAGCAGTTCTACATTGCCGTCGAGAAGGAGGAGTGGAAGCTTGACACCCTCTCCGATCTTTACGAGACTGTCACCATCACCCAGGCCGTCATCTTCTGCAACACCCGCCGCAAGGTCGACTGGCTCACTGACAAGCTCACTGCCCGTGACTTCACTGTCTCCGCCATGCACGGTGATATGGAGCAGGGCCAGCGTGATGTTATCATGAAGGAGTTCCGCTCTGGCTCTTCCCGTGTCCTGATCGCCACCGACCTTTTGGCTCGTGGTATCGATGTCCAGCAGGTCTCCCTGGTCATCAACTACGACCTGCCTGCCAACCGTGAGAACTACATTCACCGTATCGGTCGTGGCGGTCGTTTCGGTCGTAAGGGTGTTGCCATCAACTTCGTCACTGCTGACGATGTTCGCATGATGCGTGAGATCGAGCAGTTCTACAGCACCCAGATCGAGGAGATGCCCATGAACGTTGCTGGTAAGTTCCTTTCCCAAGTCAGTTTTCTCACATGTGGGTTTTTGCTAATCGCTCAATAGACCTCATCTAAACACCCCCACCTTTATACCTCACGATGCGGATTACGATCGCAGTTGCCAATAGCGGTCCAAGGGTAAGCTGCGGTGGAAAAGGCGTTATGACATCGTTGTGCTTCTCTTGGCAAAGGAGAATCCTTCAAAAGTGGCTTTCTGTGTCTCCAGCATTTATTTTTACTCGCGGCAGCTAGTGGAGGGATACCTCTACTCATTGCTGTTTATGGTTTCCTATGTTTTCCTGCTTATGGAGATGCGACATGTTTGTGCGAATTATTGCTGTAATTCATGGTTTCTCTTCCGCCTTTTTCCAACTTTTTTTTTCCCTTTTTGTACCTAGCTCGCTCTGGTTGGTTAAGGATGCTGCACATACTTAATCGAAAGGTCGGGCCAAAATTGATTTGTTCATTCAGGCAGTTTGGGTGGACAATTAGATGATCATGACGTTGGGGTGGTTGTGTACCTACTTCAGTACAATAGACAAAGAGGTAATGCCATCCATGATTTATGTTTCTAGTCCTGATTTGTTGCGTTGATGGGGATGACCATCCCCTAACTCAGTTTCCTACCGTACAATGCTTTCATCTCCTAGATACCTTCCTATATTATCAATTCATTTAGCCTACTGTCTACCTATCGAAGCCAGCCGGCCTACTCAATAAAGAAAAAAGGTCCGAATGGAACCCTTTCCGCGACAGTCGGAGTCAACCCCCTCCTCACTCCTATGGGCCCACGAAATCCGGCGCGAAAACATTCACCTTGCCGAGGAAATCCACAAAGCCAAAGCTGACCTTACCTCAACCGTAGATACCATTAACGATCTGAAACAAACCGTCAATGAATTGACTCGGCAAGTGAAGCAAGTGGAGAATAATGCCATTGAGGATCTCCAGTGTCTTGACATTAGAATCGCAAATGGATCCGACGCTCTGCTTAGGCGCGTCGAGGCCCTGGAAATTGAAAATGGAAGGTTGAAGGAGGAGCTTGAGAATGTTGGAAAAGAGTGTGCCATGCGTTCGAAAGAGCTGTCACTTGCATTAGCGTCTATGAAGACAGAGATTATGAGTGAGGTTCGGACGATACTGGCACAAGAGAGAGGTGCTTTGCGAGTTAATGAGCTACTCAGAGGATCTCATGGCAATGGTGGTAAGTATTTGTCTCGTACTGCCTTTAATTCAGACCTGCTATTCGCTATGTATGAGGTTGTCTGGACTAGGGTGAGAGGTTGTGGTGCTAAGGATCTTGTTGATCCGGTCAACTGATTGAAAACAGATATAGCTCGAGTAGGGTCTGACGTACTTGTTCCTGACTCGTTGCCCAAAGATATCATTGCTTCAACGCAAGAACGGGGAAATTCTTTACAGGCGCTGTCTGAGACCACATGGGGGCCATCCAGGTCTACTTCGATTCAAGGGCGATGTAGTACTCAATTAGACCTGTCCGACGGAATGATCATGCAGGGGCAAGAGAACTTGTGTCGTCTCTTCAAACAAAATGCGAGACCGCTGGGGGCTTATTGGTCGTTTGCCATTGATACCCGAATTCAATTGCCTTTGTGGATCAAGAGCAGCGAGATTGCAAAAGCCTTTGTACAAGGACTGGAAGACACCGCTACCAGAGATATGATGGAAAGGAAGCTATATGCTGCAGGATGGTCGTGGGATGTATTGGCCGACATCATGCATAACAAGCTCAATGAGACGAAGTTCCAAACGGTCAGATTACCCGTTCGAATGAAGGCAGGCTCGGGAAAACCTGGGGAGGCTACGAAGCCCAACACTCCCATCAAGCACAAGAAGAAAAAGCGAAGAGTGATACCTATAATACCGGCGGACGAAGATGATCTTCTTGGAGTGAATTCATGAGTCAAACCTCTTGTATCACATATCCGGATGTGCGCAAGGTCACACAATAAAGTGTTGCATTGAGGTATATATATCTTTAGTCTCGGAACTTCATACAATCACATGTTCATCAACAGCTTAAGTCTCAGCGTACAGGTAACGACCCTCACGATCCTTTACCTCAACCTCAACCCGGCCTTCCTCGATCTCCTTTCCGTCGACTTCGATGGAAGCTCTCATCACATCTCCGGACTTCACCTCTCCGACACCCTTTGGTGTACCAGTCAAGACCACGTCACCCTTCTCCAAGGTCATAACTCGCGAGATCTCGCCCAGCAGTCTTGGGATTCGGTAAAGCATCAACCCGGTCGAGTCGGCCTGGCGCACCTCGGAGCCGACGCTCAGACGAAGGAAGGCATCGTGAGGGTTGGGGATTCGCGACTTGGCGATTTCTTGGGAGACAGGCAGGAATGTGTCAAACCCCTTGGCAATGGACCATGGGAGACCCTTCTTCTTAGCTTCGTCTTGTACGTTGCGAGCAGTCATGTCAATGCCGAGAAGGTAGCCTGTAGGAGACAATGATATATTAGCCATCTAGAACTGTCTGCGAATTGGGTTTTGAGAAAAGCAAAGACCGTCCGAGTGCGGGAGACTGACTGTGAATAGCATCCAAAGCTCCCTTCTCATCGTTCGGGTCATGATCCCGGAGTGTCTTGCCCATCACCAACGCTAATTCCACCTCATAGTGTAAGTTTGTTCCCTTAGGACGTAAGACGGGGCCCTCGCCAGGACACAGAATGGCCGAAGCAGGCTTCAAGAAGAAGAAGGGCTGCTTGGGCGTGGTGTTATTGAGCTCCGTAATATGGTCGCTTCGCAGATAAGCGTTAGTCTGGTGTACGATCTACCTAGAATGATTCTTTGGGGGAGGGAAGCTCACGCATAGTTGCGGCCAATGCAAATGACCTTGCGACAATTAGCCCTAATTGAGGCTGCCATTGTGATTATAAATTTTTTTGTAATTTAGAGAATATGAGGGGCAGGTGTGCGAGACAGGACGGAGCTATGTTAATATACGTGATTGCGGTCGGAGAAGAGCCGATGCGCCGGAATTGGGGTCCGAAGTCTTTCTGCGGAGAAGCTTCGGATTCTCCGAGACTCGGAGTTACGTGCCTGCGATCAGTGTTGACAGTGTCTATATCTTTGTCCGTGAAGATTTAATTGATATGAAATGCTAGTGGTGACTCATTAACATTATTGTGTACTATCTCTGGGGATTTTAGTTTGTGAGGAAATTTGAAAAGGCTTATTCTTCCTCTTCCCATAGACATATTGAATTGTCGACTTCTTACGTCACTGCTGAGAGCCAAAAACAAATAGACTTCTATTAAAGGATGAACCAGTCTCATATTGAATGCCATCTTACATAGACTAGGAGTAGAACTTGCATACTGCATATCTGCCAAGACGTTTCCCCCTTTGTCTCACTACTTCCCATACCGATAGCCCTACTGTTATAGCTTCGCAAATCACTCTTCTTGAGCTACAGACCCGGGTGTTAAAACGAAAAACCCCTATTTATCAATATGCAAGTAGCCGAGATACTGTCCGATTTGACCTCATTACGAGTCTGTGTATGTAGCCGCTCCATCCCTTGATACGATAGATCAATCAAAATCAACAAGGCCAGTTCCTTGGACACATTTCTTTCATCTTACATTACACCAATCAGCACTTTAATCTCCCTCATACTAACGGATCCAGGATTACAATGACGCCCTCGCCCTCGTCACTGTTCACCAAAGAATACCCGCTGAGCGCTCTCCGGCAGATGGCGGTCTTGTTGCTGCAAGCCAGCAAGGCAAAAAGGCAAATGACGATCTCCGGCGCGCAAAGGAACTCGTCGACTTACATTACGAGATTAAAGCGCGGCATGCCGATGGAACAGTTGACCAGGAGCTGGCGTGTGCGAGAGAGGATGTGAATCGTGTTCTGAGGGAGCTTGGGCATTGATAGTAAGATGCGTCGTCGTGTGGATCTTGGTGTCATTGGTGTGTGCAATTGGGTCGTTATGAAGTACTCATGTATGATATGATCTTTATGTTGTTTGTTAAATGGTGTTTAGGAAAGGGTTTTGTATTCTTTACTACGTTAGTCTTTCAATGAGAACATATATCAAGAGTCAAGACGACTAAGATGAAGCCAACAGCTACTCGGAACGCGTTCCGCCGATATCAATGCATTATAGCCGATATACGCCTATCCGAGTTCCTGCTGGTCTGTAGCACTTTTCGGAGTCACAAATCACACATCGACTGTTTATTGTCTGTCAGAAGAAAAGAGACTAAGCTCTCCAAGATCTCAGAATTGCAGTCATTAGACGGTGTCTACTTGAGTCTTTTTCCAACTCTTCCAAATCGGATAGATCATTGGATGGCATCGGCCCGACAATTCACCGAGCTTTCCTTGCGCTACGGCCTCTCAGTGCGGCCAACAGCGCAGTCTCATCGATCGATAACTAGAGTCTCACGCGTTCTCTTTTCTCAACGCCAGTGCAGGTTCGATATCAGACCATCAGCTTGCAAAAATGGCGGCCAGCGTGGATGCCAAGCTCCTGAAGCAGACCAAGTTCCCTCCTGAATTCAGTCGGAAGGTGGACATGACCAAGGTCAATATTGAGGTCATGAAGAAGTGTGTTGAGCTTTCCCCGACTGTCAATTCAGAGGCTGACCGTGAGGCGTGACTTGGTCACAGATGGATTGCCGGAAAGATCTCGGAGATTCTAGGGAATGAGGATGATGTTGTGATTGAGCTTTGTTTCAATCTGCTTGAAGGGTCTAGATTTGTACGTTGTGTTCCTTTCCGAACTACGCCATGATACGATGATACTAATTGTTTTATTCATTTCTAGCCCGATGTCAAGTCGTTGCAAATCCAGCTTACGGGTTTTTTGGATAAGGATACTGCGAAGTTTTGCAAGGAGCTTTGGTCCCTATGCCTCAGCGCGCAAGAAAATCCTCAGGGTGTCCCCAAGGAGCTTTTGGAGGCTAAGAAGCTCGAACTCATACAGGAGAAGGCAAGTTACAGTATACCTAGCTACGCTTCTGCCCTACTGACTGCATTACAGATTGAAGCCGAAAAAGCGGCCGAAGAAGCTCGTCGGCAGAAGGAACAAGAACGGGTCCGAGAACGAGAACTAGAGGAGCTCAGGCGGAGGGAACGTTCTGAGCGGGGAAGAGGTGGAAGGCGTGGTGGCCGCGGAGGAGGTCGAGACTTTGACAGACGTCGCAGCCGTGATCGCTTTCAGGACCGGCCTTCACGCCGCGAGTTCGACTCCTACGTCCCCTCGGGTTCGCGCAGGAACCGTCGCCCTTCTAGGTCACCAAGCCGCTCACGTTCCCCCTCCGCCTCTCGGTCACCACCCCCTCGTCGCGAACGCCAGCCAAGCAGGGACATAAACAGGCGTCGCCGATCGCCTAGCAACTCTGTATCTCCAGGCAGAGACAGGAGGCCGAGGAGACGTAGTCCTGATTACGGTGATCGAGCTAGATCCATTTCCCGCAGTGATTCCTCACGCTCACGTACTCCCAGAAGAGACCGACGGAGACGGGGATCCGTTTCTTCCCACAGTTCGTCCCGTTCACCTGCTCCCAGGGACCGGCGCAGAAAAGACTCTTATTCCAGATCTCGTTCTAGGTCGCGTGAGCCGGATAATAGAAGCGCCAGACGGAGAAGATCTTCGCCTTATTTTTCAAGAGTTGATAAGAAAGAATCCACCGCTGATTTTGCAAAGGCCCGCAAGAACCGTGACGATCGCCGCTTGAGTCGCAGCCGCAGCAGAAATCGCGATGATACCCGCAGACGCCGGTACTCGAGGAGTATCAGTCGCAGCCGTAGCCGCAGCCGAGGACGAGGCCGTTCTCGCAGCACCAGCTCCAGTCCGAGACGTCATGATTCCCGCAGTCGCAGCCGTAGCCACAACAGGGAAAAGAAGAGACGTCGCTCCATCCAGCGATATGCTCCTGCCGCCCGCAGACGGCGTAACACCTCTTCTGTATCCGTCCGTAGTGAAAAGCGACAGAGAATGACTGATCAGGAAGATAACTCCGCAAAGCGGTCGTCGCCACCACCTGAGAAGCCCAACTCGTCAGATCACGAGATGAAGGATCCTGAAGAGGTGGGTCAATGATTCTAAAGGTATTTTCTTTCTCGAGCTGAACCAGAATGATTTTCATAAATGCCATGGCAGCTACAACCCCCAAAAAAATGTCTATTCCGACGATCTACGTTTAGACTAACGCAGTAAATAGCAGAAACTACACTCTATCCGACCTCCTCGTGCACAAATATGCAGCACCGAACTACGCGAGAAACTTCTGCGCGAAAAAATCGTCGCAATGCGTCGTACCGCCTCTAGCGACAAGGTGAGTGACAATTCGTGACACTCGAAATGGGATCAAAGATAGGAGGGATCTTAAACTTCATGAAATGAATGATACCATCTACATATACTTCAAAAAAGTATTAGCGAGTCTCTTCGAGGAATAAAGAAAAGGAAAAAAAAAAAAAAAAGCATACACAATGAATGACAAGGGAGATCAGCAAACGTCAACACTCTGCCTACTAGTCTACTTCCCCATAACGCATTTGCACACGGAGTACTCCGTGTGTTGCATAATAGTTATGCTTATGGATTTATAATTGGAACATCTACAATCAGCGCACAGCCTCCAAAAGTGGGAAATTAATTTTTTTTTTTTTTTTTTTTTTTTTCAAAAAAGAAAATATAAAAAAATTTTGAAAAATGAAAATGAAAACAATAAAAAGTCCTCAGTTCAAATCTCGCAAACCCTTCCCTTATTCGGATAGACTTTACCGTTTACCTCCTGAGCGGAAAAACAGGAACAAAAATTCGTCCGTCCCACCGATAGTTGGGATGATCATCGCGCCCAGGAATAGGAATAAGTAGTCTTTGAACTGGCATCCCACTAATTCTTTTCTAACGGCTCGATTCGATATCCCTTTTCGAAAGACCGTTTTTAGAAAAAGCAGGCCCTGTTAATCACAACGTACACCTCTTATTGAGATCAGCTAGGACACATCCACTGGATGCGTGCTATTAATATATAGTCAACGGGCGCATTTTAGGACATTCTTTAGCTGTTGTCTTTTCATGGGTTTTATGTGTGGGCTTTTTTTCTGTCATATTAATTGTCCATAGGGGGAGGTTCTGTGCATAACTAGTCTATTGGGGATGATGATCTCTCGTTGACACTCCGTAGTTTACCTTATTTTTATTTATTTATTTATTTACTTTCTCTTTTCCGTGTTTTTTTTTTTTCTAAATCAAATTGACTATGTCCTAATAGAGGTCCACATACAACTCTACGGCTGTAAATAAGATTGAGAACAGTATACTCGTCATATTACTAAAGTCGTCAAGTACTATACAGGCAGTAGTAGGACGTGAGTCCCATCTAGGCATATTATAAAAGAAAGAATGTACTCCATTGAAGGGAATCCACAAAAAGAATAAAACAGAACCAGAACGTAAGTCTTCCTTGTCAGTGAAACATGTACTCCCCCAGATCGCAAGCCCCACGCAAAGAGCATCGACGCATGATCGGGGTAAAACCAGGCGAATTAGAATTAGAATTAGGTATTTACACGAGGTATATTGAGCGTTTCTGCCATTGCGATCGTCTCGTAATCTTCAGCCCATATGGTTGGCTGATTTAAGGCTCGCAAACAGCGACGCTCACGGTGGTGGTGATGGTGACCACCTTGGGAGCGGGGCCGGAGCTGACAGCGGGGGCAGTGGTGATGACAGGAGGGACAACGGTAGTGCTGACGGAGGGAGCATCAGTCTCGGTGGCGACGGGGTAGACGGTCTCCGAAGTCAAGGTGTCGCAGGGAGTAGTCTCGGCTTCACCAGCAGGGCCAGTCTGAGTAGGGACGGCGGGCACGCTCACAGACTCCGAGCCAGTAGGGCTGACGTCAGTAGGAGCGGGAGGAACCACGTCAGTGGTGGCACTGGCGATCACAGTCTCGGAGGTGAT